GTCCAGCTCCAGTTTAAACACGTACGTGCTGGTACATCAAGATTATTGGAACTGGAACTTATCCCAACTGGCATGTCAGTATCTAGGGTTTGAAGGTAAGACATTATCATTATCAGCTTAATGGCCCTCCATTGCTATTAACAGCTATTCTTAAATAGCTGATATCGCTAATTGAATTGTTGGTTGCAAGTTTGTTCAGGCTTTGCAAATGATGTGAGGCTTTGTATTCCCTTGCTTCTCTTTCTAGCAGTCTTCCCTGTTAATATTATATATATATATATATATATATATATATCTAAATTATCCTTTCCGTATGATTATGTGACCGACAAATTGCATTTGCCTCTTTCTTACTGTGTTGATGAGTGATAGTTTTCTGAACCGTTCTTCAATTGTTATCTTTCCGATCATGATATATTCATAATCTTTCTAAAAAACAAGGTCTCTGTGGTAATGAATCTTCTCTCAAGCTCTTTGTTTATTGTCCAACGCTGACACCCGTTTTCTTGGTAATGTTTTATTATTTTCATTACGGATTTTTATTTGATCGAATGTACCCTTCGCTGTTGCAATTCTTTCATTTATCTCATGAATACATTTCCCATCTGATGCTAAAATGTACCCAAAGTTTCTTAAAGACTTGCTTTATTGTTTCCCTTTATTTTTGAGATTCCATGGAAGCGTTTGAGTCTTTTTACAAACATTATCATCCACTCTGTTTTCTTGGTATGAAACATAATTATTGTTAACTTATATATAAGTTTATATATTCTGGTCAAGTTGGAGATTTAAATTCCATGTTATAGTTGATTTTCTCCCTCTTCAACCTGAATCCTTCTCTTATTCTTTCCAGTTTCAAAACTCTTGTTTTGGGAGACTACCCAATTTGTATATGGTGTATGTCATCGCGAATCAGTTTTGGTGTTACCCGATACAGTTAATGTTTTGTTGCGGTTTGCATTTATTGTCTTCAAAATGATATTTTGACTACTCTGGTATCCTACTTTTTACTTTATCTTTATTGAACAAGGAGTATTTGCGACGCTGAGCGGTCCACTGTACGAGTCCTCGTCCATCGATGCTCCTGCTGAAGTCGAATCAGTGATATGCCCTGCTAATGCCACAAATATCACCGACTGCTGGTACAGTGAGACTAAAGTGGGACGGTTAAACGAGAGTGAAATTATTTCCATTGCGTGTTGCCCTGGTGAGAAATGATAATAATGATAATGATAAAAGTAATCATGATAAAAAATAATGCTTATAATGATAATATTAATACTTTCAGAAGTACTAGTAATAGTGAAAAATAGGTTATATTTTGATTGGCAACTTCTTTAAAAATGCTCGAACATCCTTGATGAAAATTCATTGCTAACCTGTAGTAGTATGCCCTAGTGAATTCCAAAATAATTCAAGCGAAAAATACTAACATACGATCTTTTTTTTTTAATGAAACTTGACATTTTCCAACACTTAATATTAATGTTTCTTTATTCCAACCAAAACTTGAAGTTGGATTTCAAATAAAAATAAAAATACAAACATGTAGGAAATAATATAAGCAAAGTAAAAGAAACTGAAGAATTTGATACAAAAATACAATAGTATATGAATAACAGACTATGTGCAAGAATAAAATCATTAAACATTATTAAATTAATTAACTTAAAGCTATGGTCACTACCAGGCGCGTACGCAGGATTTTTTCAAGGGGGGGTTTTAACATTTATAAATCGGGCCGAAATTTTTCGCAACGACTCAGCCAGCCGCTTAATAAGCGGGGAGGGGGGGGGGGGGGGGGGGGGGGTAAGAGGACACATTTTTTTTTTTTTTTTTTGGTCTCGAAATTTGAAAATTTGACATTTTGCTCCGTTGGGGGGGGGGTAAGGTCAGCTTTTTTAGGTCAACCATGAGAATTTTTTTTTTTTTTTTTATTATTTTTTTTTTAATAAAAATAAAATAAAAAAACAAAAAAACAAAAAAAACAATCCAAAAGGGGGGGTTTTAGAGAAATTTAGGGGGGGTTTACACACAAAAAATTACCAAAGGGGGGGTTTAACCCCCCAAACACCCCCCCTGTGTACGCGCCTGGTCACTACTCAGAGTAGCGACCGCCAGATTTATAGCCTGCTCGGTCGCTGCAGGAATTTAGGCACCGCCCAACAATTTCTGCGATGCCTGGAAGGTGCCCTGTCGATTCCCCGTCGGTCACCGGTCGATTTTAGGTAAAAACTGGACGAAATCGGGGAGCTTCTCCGCGGGGCGTCCCGGCAGTGACCGACTGATGACACACCGATTCCCGGGCGGTCTCCCACCGCCCACCGGATGATTTTACAGAAATTGCCCGATGACCGGTCGGTGATCGGCGGGGCATCTGTGGGTGTCTCATATGCCTCGTTGACACTTGCCCGCATTTTGGTCCCGCACTGCCCCGCTCTGTGGCGTGCCAATGCGTGCCAATTAGTGGCACGGAGGGTCACGTCTATTTTACGAATAGTTCACGCAATGCGTAACCACCAGGACACGCATTCGTAGACTGTGCGCATGGCATGCTAAAACTGCGCGGGATCTATGCGCAGCCAATGCGCAAATTGTGCGCAAATTAGTCGTTAACTAGTCGTGAACATACGTGCCACTAGGCCATCGGCCGGCCATCGGACACGCATCGGCGCGCACTGGCACGACTAGGCAACGCATATGGTGCGCATAGTTCACGAAGTGTTCACGAACGTTGCCAAACAAAATTGTCGTGCCAAAATTTTGGACATTTTGAAAATCCTGTCACGCATTTCACGCACGGCCCGCATCCGCCCGCATCCTCCCGCACGCTCCCACGAATACTTCCCGCAAGTGTCACCGGGGCAATAGGCTTACCTGCGGCAGGCTCCTTTTCCCCCACTTGCTCCTTGGTTTTCTTGCGTGTTTTGGGCATTTCTTCAGTGAAACAAACTTCGAATAAAAATCTAGCTGTTGTCTCTTGTGGAGCGCGTTGAGCAGCGCCTAATACCCAGCCATGATCGGACAGACGGTAAATCGAGCTGGCGCTGCCCGGACTCATGTATTTAACATCGGAAGTCATTGTTGCGAGGAAAGTGCATTGAATAGCATCATCGCACAATTAGCGCACAACTGGTGCCTGAATGTTGCGTTGCAAGCTCTCAAATTAACATTATTGTTACAAAGGGGATGATAATTAAAATTAATATCATTTACACACACATCAATGTAACGTAATGTCTCCCGTGTTTGCTTCCTAACCTAAATTAAATATAAGAGTTGATTACGAAATCAAGTTTTATTTTTCCTTTAAAACAATGCCTTGTGTTTCCTATAGTTTATTGTTTGTCTTGATGATTGAAATATAAATGAAGAGAGCAAGTACGTAACTCATACTTTACCTCAAAACCTTCTTGAAATAGTTTCTTTCGCGTCTTGTTCTTAAAAGATGTTTAAATACAGGTTCATAACATTTTTTTTAATGAAAATATTTGTCGCAAATTACAAATGCGCAATATGTACGCTTGATATTAATGGGCACTGATGCTAATGTGATTTCTTTGTAAACATTTGAAAAATTATAATTATAGTATTAACTCAGATCGTATATCCGTATACAATTTAAAGAGAGGCTAGGGGATATTGCAAAATCCTTTCATAAGATATTTCTTCGAGGACGGTAAAATGCTTTTTAAGATATCATCTCGTTGCATTTTTGCAACACCGCGTATACTTATGGTTTTACGACTTTTATCCTATGGTGTGAAATATAATTTTTACTCTCGTGTTTCATCTGCACTTTTAGGCCTCTGTCGTTTTACCCTGTAATATGCTTTTATTATTTCTTGACCTTATTTCCAACAGTGAACCCGTGTAATATATCTGGTCAACCACTCGGCCTTGAAAGTGGTGCGCTTTCCGATTCGGCTTTCTCTGAATCATCCTGCCACTCGGCGTCCCATTGCAGCCGTGTTGGCCGTCTGAACTCTGAGACAGCCTGGCTCCCAGACTTGTCCGACCCATCCCCTTGGATGCAGGTCCAATTTGAGTCCAGTTATATCGTAACGGTCATAACGACTCAGGGTAAAAACAAATACGATGAGTGGGTGACGTCATACACCTTTTCGTCCAGTTTTGACAACATGGCTTGGACTGATTATTTGAACGTTTACTCTGGATCAGTTGAGGTAAATGTAAAACTGCGGTTTCCTCGTTTACATTACAAAACAACACTTAATCAGTGGTCTTTATATTAAGAAATATACAGCGTAACCTCGTAAGAACTTCATGGGACTATGTAAAATTGATTGCTGTAATACAACTTCTTCGTGCCATGGATGAAAAAAATAAATAAAAGATAATAAATAAAACAAACAAAAACGGTATATATTATTAAGGAATACAACCGTTTGGATTGTCTTGCTGAAGTAAAAGTTTATAAAACAGTGTTTTGATATAACGAGGTCCCACTGTTATTTCTATTATTGTTTTTTTGTTTTTGTTTTAATAAAATAAAGACAGTACAAACAAAGAAAAAAATGTTTACAGTGTAACATAGAGGGATTTTAAAAAATGAAGAAAAAAAAGAAAAAAACCTCTATATTCCATTATCAATATCATGCACACAATTATAAGCCGTAGCTCTCCTGGGGAGAAAAATGGAACAAAAAGTTTACATAGTGCTGTATCTTAGTTTTAGTTCTAAAACTGGGGAACAGGAAAGAGGGAAAAGGAACTTCCCTTTTTCGTTTTACATGATATAGGCCTTTGTTTACCTAACAAACCAATAAGGATTTTTCAAAATGAATTATTAGAAACAAGAATCACAACTTACGAAAATTACATCTTAGTTGATCAAGTAATGCAGATATGTTTTTTTATAGATATTTCCAGGAAATTATGACCGTGATAGCCATGTGACTCACACACTTGCAAGGCCGATAGTTGGACGCTCTTTCCGGATCCATCCAAAGACCAATCACGGTCGCCTTTCTTTGAGGATGGAACTGTATGGGTACGGACCTCTAACTGACGCCATAGGTTAGTGCACAATAATAAAATAGCAAGTTACTTCTGGTACAAATGATAACACGAACTCTCATTGATGACATAGGTAGGTGGAGAAGAGGACTGTTACTGGAAGAGAAGGTTTATATATATATATATATATATATATATATATATATATATATATATATATCGGTACAGTGCTGAAGAAAAAATATATAATAGTGAGCTTGCCTTCTCTTAGTATGTCAGTTGGGGAGAATATTATAGTAGAATTGTCCCCTGAACTGCATTGCTCTTAAAATGCTCTCATCATTCTACAAGAAATTGTTAAAACTTAGAAACTCTGGACGAAACACTGTCTTGTGTGCAGGCCCATTTACCCATTTATGTGTGTATATTTGTTCTCCACATTTTGATCATTCCAAAACCACAGAGTTTATATCAATTGTTTTGTTGTACAAGGCCAACATTTTATAATTGACTCCGGAAAGTTTCTGCCATAATGTGATGTTATGACCTGATGTCACTACGAGTCTGAGCCGAATTAGCTTGCTCCTATAAAATACTGTTGCAAACACTTCCAAAATAGGGTCGTAGTCAGATCGTATACCGTGCGATGGGTTGAACTTAACCCGAATCCTCGCCGAGCCCGAAGGCAAGTTCAAGAAATTTCCAGGTGGGCCAGCGAATTTGCCTTGCAAATTAGTAGGAAATATAAGAAAGTTAGTTGCAAGGTCATTTAGGTGTCTGAGTCTTTTTTTTTCCCCTTTCTTTTTTCCTTTCTTTTTTGCAGCGTCGCTGAATCTCGATGCGAAACTTGGTTGCACTCCATCTGTCCGCGGTGCGGGGCTTGGCGTGGAAGATGGTCGGATACCAGACTCTAGTCTGACCTCGTCATCGATCTGGGGTTTTGCTCATGAAGCTTACAGAGGAAGGCTTAATGAAGTTGCCGTTGCAGGGTTAAACGTCGGTGCATGGGTCGCCGCCTTTAACGACAACAATAAGTGGGTTAAGGTAATTTGCTCTAGCATGTCTAAATGCGCGTTGAGATGATTTGAATTAAAGTATGCCAACATATCAAGAAATAATTTGTGTACAGCTAAAATGTATAATCAACCTTCTCTTCGTGTTGGGCTGCATAGCTCTTTAAAGTTTACTTGAAGAAGAACCTGAAAAGGGGTTTACCTGGCTTTCTATTGGCTAACTGATTAGAAGTATGAATACAATAAAAAATAACATACTGCAATATGATATATTTCAAGTGTATTAATAAATCTCTGCCATGTTCGCTTAGACATTTGAACACGCTTTTAACGCGCTGGAAGGTCATGAATTATTCATTTTTCGTTCGATGCTTCCTATATTCGTATATACTCTTCACGCAACAAGGAAAAAAAACGCAGATCAGCTTCGAGCATGCGTATTACGTTTTTTGAGTGAGGTCATCTCCGCTTAGTTTTTCATTTATGTTAATGTATTCATCATTTGGCTAATAATGACGCATAAGTAGTGACGAATCAGTTTCCTTCAATTTCTTTATAATAATGAGAACCCAGCCTTGAATCCGTTGAGTGATCATGACGATGGAGTTATATTTGGGATAGTTGTTATACACTGTTGCTCATAAAGTTGGAATATTTGTTTTACCCCAATTTATGGAATGATTTTGACAACGATTTATTCCTAATAGATCTAGATAATAGTTTACATTCTAAGATGTTATTGAATAATAATTTACAAGTCTTTGTTTTGCGTGACTGCTTTATAGTGGGGGTTGTTAGGGATATTTTGGTGCAGATTCTTCTAAAAGCACCAAATTTGGCCCAGAGGCAGCTTATACCATACTATGACGATTTCTACCCTGGGACCGCCATATTTGTCAAATCCAAAATGGCCGCCATCTGAGTTAAAGGTCAAGCGTAGTTCCAAAAGATAAAGGGCTAGTATGATAATAGTTTATATATTTATGGGGTTTTGGGGGTCGGAGAATCTGATTATGATATTTTTTCATCAATTTGAGCTCTTCTTGGGGCTGTCATACTGGTCAGATTGGTCAAATCTAAAATGGCCGTCATTTGAGTTACAGGTCAAGTGTAGTTACTAAAGGAAAATGGGCTAGAATGATAAAAGTTTATACATTTATGGGGCTTTCGGTGTCGGAGAATCTGATAATCATTTCCTTTCATCGATTTGAGGTCTCCTTGGGGCTGTCATACTGGTCATACTGGTCAAATCCAAAATGGCCGCCATCTGAGTTAAAGTTCAAGTGTAGTTTCATAGGAAAAAGAGCTAGACAAGTAAAAGTTTTTTCGAAATATGGGGGTTTCAGGGTCAGCAAATTTGAATATGATGTTCTGTCATTGATGTGAAGGTCTCTTTTGGGCTGTTAAAATGGTCAAATCTAATATGGCTGCCAAACAGGCAAATGCTATGATACTTGATGAGGTAATCCCTGAAGCAGCTTTTCCAAGCTATACTGGGATGGGATGTGTTGTGACAGCAGATGAAGGTGCAGACAACAAAAGGGTGTACAATTTCTTTATAGTACAGTAAAACAGTGACGTGCAAGTAAAAAATCATGCTGCTATATGGTTTACAGCATTCTGGAACCTACAGGAGGTTCCAACCCTCTGATGACAGGGAGGGCGGTCATCTGGAAAGCAGCAACTGTTGGGGCAGTAACTGCAGTGGCTGGTAGTTGATTCCAGAGGCGAATGGTGCGGGGGTAAAATGAGTACGTGTAGGATTCTATTGTTGCCACAGGAACAGAGAGCTTGAGTGTGTGGTCTCTTCTGCTGATGTATGTAGCTTTGGTTATGAGGTGAGGAAGACAAATGTTGACTAGCTGGTGGTGTATTTTAAAGAGCATGGTGCTTTGTGCTAGAAGACGACGTGTGTGCAGTTTATCCCATCCCAGCTGGGAAACAAGCCCTGTAGCTGACGTGGATCTTCGGTAGTCGCGGAAGACAAAACGAGCAGCTGTTTTCAGTACCCTTTCCAGACCTTCGGCAGCACCAGAAGTGTGGGGGTTCCAGGCTTTAGCCCCATACTCTAGTATGATGTGCATACTTAGATTTTCTTCTCTTTTGTGGGATGTAATGTTGAGATAAAACTAATTTCATGGTTATATCAATGGTTAACATGCATACTTAAACATTCTGACATACATTAGTTAACCCTTACATACACACACATCGCATAAACACCACACACACACGCATACACACATGCGCACAAACACACAACCCATACATTACCATTAAGTCTGTCACTTCTGTTTATCGTACGGAAATAATATACTTGTTAATTTTGATTCTACGAAGTTAAACCATGGTGGACAATGGTGGTCATGGTTTCAACAATATTTTTTTCGTGGTATAAATATTGATGCTATGTTTATGACCTGACGTTATAAGTGCTTTAATTGTGAGGGTATATTTCCCAATTACTTATTTGACGTGAGTTGTAATTCAACTTCTTTCTCAGTAGTTATATAATACAGTTCCTTGTATGTCATTTTACCTGGGTTTTATTATGTTTCCATACATAATCCTAAAATGGATGTTAAAACAACCCTTTTGAGTAGTGTCGGCTTACAGGCTCTTATTTATGTTCTGCGTGAGTGGTGTCCCTCCATTTGCTTGATTTGTTTATTCCATATTGTTTACCTATTCCTATATTGGGTGGAAATAGTTACAGTTACACAGTTGTGTATAAAGAGACAAACACAAATAGCAAGGCAGGCTTTCCAATATTCAATCTTTGGGTAGAACTGATTACTGTCATAGTTTGTATCCAGTTATTCAATAAGTAAGTTCAGCTGGACACAACAAATAAATTAAGAAAATCAAGGAAGGTTTTCCAACATTACATCTTTGGTCAGAATAGATTGCTGTAATGGTTTGTGTCCAGTTATATAATCAGTAAGTTCAACTGGGCACAACAAATGCTCTCGATATATGTATAAATCTTGGCCTGCGCCCATACATTTCACCATTATGTTGTACTAGTCGTTGCTGTCAATGTTGTTGCTACATCCGCCTTCGCATTTGCAGAGCATTGTTTCACTGGTGAACCCGACGTGATCTAAACCCGACCAACCTGCTGAGTGGCAGATATTCTCCATCAAAACTGTTTAAAGTATTGTCTCCCTTTCCTTCATATTTCTACTCATGTCTTATCTTTCAACTGTCATCATGCCTTCTTACGATCACACCCATTCTTCAACTTCTGAAACTTCTGCTTGCCCTTCATCTGTCTCCAATGTTCAACTCAAACTTCCTCCTTTCTGGCACAATGATCCTACTATTTGGTTTGCCCAAGTCCAGGCAAAATTCATGACCCGAGGCATCACCCAACAGAAAACAAAGTTTGTCTACGTCGTCGCCTCCTTGCAGCCGGAGTATGCCCAGGTATTTTTGACTCTCGACGTCGGCCTACGCCAAGCTTGCAGGTGGATTTTTATCATTGCCGACATATCCTCCTATCGTCGGGGCAGACTTTCTCCATCACTTTGGTTTTCTGGTAGATGTGCGCAATCTCAATCTCATCGATTATACTACAAATCTATCTATAAGAGGCATCCTTTCTTCTTTTCCATATGTCAGCCCCATGTTTGTCCAGGCAGACGGTCAAGCTACTTACAAATCTCTTCTTGACCAATTTCCAGACATCGCACGCCAAGTCTACAAGGAGGCAAAAGTGCTAGAATTAGGCATCGTTCGACCTTTTGGCAGCAATTGGACGTCCCCACTTCATATGGTGCCCAAGAAAACCCCCGGAGACCGGAGACCGAACGGTGACTACCATGCACTAAATAGGAATACAGTGCCCGATAAATATCCTATTCCCCATCTTCAAGATTTCACCTCAGCTCTAGCAGGCAAGAGAGTTTTCTCCAAACTCGATGTCATCAGAGCGTGTCACCAAATTCCAGTCAATCCAGTAGACGTGCCCAAAACAGCCATCACCACACCCTTTGGGTTATTTGAATTTGAGCGCATGCCTTTTGGGCTACGAAATGCCGCACAAAAAGGTACTTTTCTACTGTCTATTAATGATAGGGGAACCCGTGGTCTACCAGTTGTGTACGCCTACATCATTAACCAACTCAAGTGTGAATTTGGCGCATCTTCCCTCATCTTCCTTAACCAAGAAATGGACTTCATTGTAGCCTTAGGACAGGATAGTGACATAAAATCGATAAAAGAACATCATAATCATATTCTCTGACCCCGAAAACCCCCTTAATATATAAACTTTTATCATACTACCACTTTTCCTTTAGAAACTGCACTTGACCTTTTATTCAGATGGCAGCCATTTTGCATTTGACCAATATTACCAGCATGACAGCCCCAATGAGACCTCAAATTGATAAAAGAACATGATAATCAGATTCTCTGACCCCGAATACCCCATAAATATATAACCTTTTATCATACTAGCCCATTTTCCTTTCGTAACTACACTTGACCTTTAATTCGGATGGCGGCCATTTTGGATTTGGCCAATATGACCAGTATGACAGCCCCAAGGAGACCTGTTATTGATACAAGAACATCATCATCAGATTCTTTGACTCCAAAAACCCCCTTAATAATAAACTTTTATCATACTGCCCTTTTTCTTTTGGACCTACACTTGACTTTTTACTCAGATGGCAGCCATTTTTCATTTGACCAATATGACCAACATGACAGCCCCAATGAGACCTCAAAATGATAAAAGAACATTATAATCAGATTCTCTGACCCCCAAACCCCCATAAATATATAAACTATTATCATACTAACCCTTTTCTTTTTGGAACTATGCTTGACCTTTAACTCAGATGGCGGCCATTTTGGATTTGCCCAATATGGCGGTCCCAGAGGGCGCCCTTCTTGGCGCCCCGCAGCAATCGTAATAGTATGGTATAAGCTACCTCTGGGCCAAATGTGGTGCTTTTGGAAGAATCTGCACCTAACGACCCCTATTTAGCCTAATTAACAGCCCCACTATTAGCATCTGTATGCTACTATGCTACTAGGGGTCCTACCCCCTTAAAGGTAATACAAAGTTTTGGTATGGGGATATGAATTTGGTTCTAATGAACATATCGGAAGCATATGCGATCCTACATATTTAGCGATCGTTGTCGCGGTTTAAATTGAGTCTAAAGTGATGAAATTATAAATAAAAAACTGTTTATGTTGTATAGCTCCCTCCCAAGGTCAATATATCAATTTAGCTATAAAACAATGTTTCTTGACTAACATTGACCGATTGGCTATTCCCGGGTTAAAATTATATATCACAACTACATATTATGAGATTTTCATGGTCGCAGCTATCATTGTATTGCCGTAGGCGCTATTTGAAATTTATCAAAAATTACCGGGAGCACCGGTAAATTTTTATATTCAATTTTTCTCGAAAGCAGAAGTGTTTTAGGGACTAAATTTCCTAGTGCTTATAAACATCCACAGGGGCATCCAAATATATCGAAAGTGTAAAGATTCACTATCCAGCCAAAACTTTGTATTACCTTTAAGTCATAACTGACAGTAATGAGGATTAATGCCTCACAAAAGGGCAATAATAATAGCACATCGACACGGTTTTAATCATGGGGCCTCACAGTTACGAGGCCATTACTTTGCCACTGAATCACGACTGTACTCCAGAAGATTCAGAATCGCGGAGCAAAGCTGATCTACTTGGCCCGTAAGCACGATCATGTCACCCCGTTGCTTAAAGAACTACATTGGCTTCCAATCAAGCAACGCTTTTTTTTTTACAAGTGCATCCAAAACAAAGCTCCAGTGTATCTCAATTCTCTCATCGTACCCTACCAATCTGCTCGTCCTGGCCTTCGGTCGTGTACTGACAACACCTGCTACACGTTCCTCGCACATACACCAAAGCTGGCGTCAATGCTTTCCATGCATGTACTCCTCGACTCTGGAATGAGCTTCCACGTTTTATTCAATTAGCACCTTCACTGGATGTCTCCCGAAAATGTCTCAAAACTCTCCTCTTTGACCAAAATAAACAATAGATTCTTTGATAACTTTTATGTAAAAGCACTGAGAAACAACAGTTAGTTTTTAAGAGCGCTATAGAAATGACTTTATTGTATTGTATTGTACACAGCGGGGGCTAGGGTAGGGGGCAGCCCCCACAAATATAACAAAACAAAGAAAATTCAATAAATTATCAATAATTAATTGCATTTCTCCCCGGTCCCCAACAGGAAAATTCACTGCATGGCCACACAGAAGAGAGAGAAATGATGGGAGAGGGAAAGAGATTGGGGAGAGACAGAAAGCGAGAGAGAGAGAATGGGAGAGGGTGACGTGGGGGGAAGAGAGATAGAGAGAAAGAGCGAGAGAGAGAGAGAGAGAAGGAGAGAGAAAAGGTGGGAGAGGGAGAGATATAGAGGAGAGAGGCAGAGAGCGAGTGAGAATGGGGAGAGGGTGACATGGGGGAGAGAGATAGAGAGAGAGAGAGAAGGAGAGAGAAAGGGCGTGATAGGGAGAGAGAGAGAGAGAGAGAGAGAGAGGAAGAGGAAGACGAACACATAACTAGCACAATTTTTAAAACATCATATCGTTCAAATCTGACCAGCCCTTTCGATTTGCTCATATTGAAAGCAACATCCGTTCAAATGGTTGATATGTTTTTACATATTGCTTGTCCTAAGTATTGTTATCAAATGCAAGATAATCTGTCATTAGATAAATTCACATTTTGTTCTTCTTTTCATCATTAAAATCACACAAAGGTCGATCTCGGCGAGGATACTTTGGTAACTGGTGTTATCACACAGGGACGGACCAGTATAAACGAAAGGGTTACGTCATTCCAAATCTCCTACTCAAGGGACGATACAAATTGGACCTTTGCTCTGGAAGAGCATTGCGGGGTACGAAAAGTGAGTGTCATTTTGCGCTTCCAGTAAATGCTTATTTTATTTTGTTGTTAAGTCTATCATCTTCCTTTTTTATTCATGCTCTTTTTATTACTTATGTATTTTTTTAATTTCTTTGTACGTTTTTGCATGCAATTATTTTCTCATATCTACATAAACAGTCATGTATTAACACATCCAAAAGCATGAATTTCCTAGTGTGCAAAATTAAAGGATTTTAAAATGTATTTTAAAAATACAAAAAGTTCCATTAAAATCAATTGTTTATGTGCCTTGGCGATGAAATCTCGGTGCCATATTGCATTTCTCATGGAAGAGTTATACCGAGGGATTCGAGGCAAGACATTAATCAACATTTGCCATTCACCACCCAGGTGTAAATGGGTACCTGGAGTTTCCGGGGGTTATATGAATTACAGGGCCCTTGGGAATAGCAGCAGTTATACTGATGAGGCTTTTCTTGGTTAATAAACAAGTTATTTATCATTAATATTATTATCATTACTATTATCATTATAAGAAAAGAAAATATCCATTACTTTCGTTCCTTTTCAGACATATACAGGAAATTTTGATGCTGCCACATATGTGACCATACTGTTTCCTGAGCCAGTAACCGCACGGTACGTCAGGTTTCATCCTGTAACATTTATTGTGACGGCGTCTATGAGATTTGAAGTACTTGGTATCAACGCTTGAACCACAACGAGTTATCACTAAATTTATTTATTGTTTTATTCAATCTAATTGTTTTCATTTATTTATTTACTTATTTATTCATTTAAATTAAAGAGTGTGTCGATCAAAGTTCTAATGATTTGAATATAGCGCCATAGTTTTGTTGTCATACGATTACACGATTACAGAAATCTACTTTCTTTTTTTTCATGGAGATTTTGAACCCATGTTTGTACCGGGTATTTACCCGATATTAGCTGTATTTGATAACCGAGAGTAGACTTAACATTTACGATAGAGCGACAATTCAGTCTGACATTATCAACAATATACGGCGAACTTCAATAAACCCTTTTCGTGTGGAAAGCTCATCATCACAAATCTCCCTCACCCGAACGCTCTCCGAGACACGAAAACAAACTCGAGTGATTTCCCGATGGGACATCGAATTTCGCTTCTTGTGATATCAAGATTCGTACACACGATTACTAGCAATATCACCTTGTATGGTGTAAGCTAATTAAGACGCAATGCACACGGATGCTGCGTTGTGTATGTATTTTAATGATGAAATGTCTTATTTGGAATGAGTAATGTGCTTGCATGTAGAGCAGCGAAATTCTCCAAGCAGAGTTCTGGGATTCCTGATGCCCAGAGCTGGTTTATGCAAATAAACATAGAGGTACATGTACATATACAGGGACAAAAGTCAGAGATTAACAGACATCAAAGTCACCACCAAAGATGTTGAAAAGCTACAGGCACTGTGGAAAACAGGAGGAAAAGATGCACGGGAAATGCTTTGCAAATCGGTAAAGAACTACTTCTCCATCATGCGCAAAACTACCTTGTGGAAGAATTCAAGTTAACTAATGTAAGTGGATGTAAAAATTATGGGAGAAACGGAGTTCAATTTATTTGAAAGCCATTGGATGTAATTAACAGAAGCACGATGGATTACCATTCGATTCGGGAGCACATGGAACGTGCTGCTACGACAGGCATCCAGTACGTCACTCTGAAGCCAAGGAATAAAGTAAACAACCGTGCTATTATTTAAGGGGAAGTCTTCCTTGATATCAACTTGGTTTTAATAGAAGCAAAACAATGAGAGGAGCAGGTCAGTTTGAGCAAATTCCCATTAAAAATAACAAAGTTATGAATTTGTGAAGTTGCAATCAATTAAACACATATTGGCAACTCTGTGACGTATCTTGCGAGTTCCCCTCCCTTTTGCTCTGTACTAAAAAAAAAAAAAAAATCCCTCGAGAAAATGTTCCATGATATATGCGCCCTATCTAATGGTTATTGCAAATAATAATGTTTCTATTTCCAAGTATGGGAAACAATTCTATTCCGTCATCAAGAACGAAGAAAATTAAATTGTATACAATTTAATGTACAAAGAGCCAACTTGTGTTTAATTCATCGCAACTTCAAAAATGCATAACTTTATTTGTGATCGGACTATCACTGACTTGTTCCTATATCATTTTTGAGCTTTTATTAAAACCAACTTATTATCAGGGTGGACTTCCCTTTACACCAAAATGTAGATGCTCACTGAAAGTGGTAAATCGAAGGTCAACGAGGAGTACATTTGGAGCGTTAAGAAAATTTGTTTTCCCCCTTAAATAATTTTGCAAAATTATTGATATAACTATGGTTGACACATCTGAATTGTGGTGTTTCGGTAGACGTCTACAGCCACTAGAGTGTACATATATTTTCAAAGGCACTCTGAATTTTACAATGCGATATACATGTGTGTCTCATGTAAATATTACTACTACTACTACTACTACTACTACTACTACTACTACTACTACTACTACTACTTACAATAATGTATTTATATCGTGCATTTTCTATATACGTGTTCAAATACGATTTACAATTACTTAATATGATAATGTTGATGGATAAGAGAGGATACGATACAGCCATTCTCTACCAAATGTTTGAGATTATATTTTCTATTAGATTCTGACCAACGGTATGGTTTGTTTGTCAATTACGTCAGAAAGGTCAATTTAGGTCACATTGGTGACGAAGGCAATTTGATATTACGGTGGTAAAGGTTTTGTATTGAGTATCAAAAGTTATACTTTTTGACTTTCATGATTTTTTGTAGATTGATTAAATCTGTCCTTATCTGAAATCTAAAGTAAATGTAACGTTTGTTTGGAAAAGGTATCGTAGTCGAGTGGTTTAATCTCTTGACTGGGAATGGAAAAGTTGTTGGTTAGAGCCCGACACGGCAGTTATGTCCTTGAGCAAGACATTTTATCTACATTGCTCCTCTCCACCCATGTGTGAAATGGATAGCCGGAAGAATAAACGAAGGTCAAATAGCGACCAGTTAGAATGCTACCCAGGGAGTGGAGAATGTGCTCCTTAATGTGCGGAATAGTAATCGAATCCAATGACCTGGGTAATATTAAAGGTAATACAAAGTTTTGGTATGGGGTCATGAATTTGGTTCAAATGAACATATTGGAAGGATATCCGATCCTACAATATCCAGTGATCGTTGTCGCGGTTGAAATCGAGTCTAAAGTTATGAAATTGTAAATAATAAACTCTTCATGTTGTATAGCTTCCTCTCAAGGTCAAGATATTAATTAAGCTATAAAACAATGTTTCTTGACTAAAATTTTCAATTTTTCTCGAAAGCAGAAGTGTTTTAGGGGCTAAATTTTATTTTCTTTTACGGCACAGGGGCATCGAAATATATCAAAGTTGTAAATAATCACTTTCCATCCAATTTTCAAAATTTCCCAAAACTTTGTATTACCTTTAATACTGTAAGCGATTCGGTATGTTATAACTGGTAAAGCGCTTTATAGGGGGAAGCTAACTTTGCAGAATTTTAGCAAAACATTTAAAGAGAACTAAATGATGTAGAATTGTATTGCTATGAGTATATGGAAGTGAGAGAACAAAATGGAATTCATTTACTTTCTTTAAAAAAAGAGAAAATAAATGAGGTTTTCAAATAAAAATTTGAGAAAAAGTAACCGTAGTTCGAAGTTTGAAATAGTATTTAGTCTAGCGTTTTTGCCTGTACGTCATGAGACATTGCTGATAATTATGTGTGCGTAATTTATCAAAACAGTTGTCATTATTGTGGTTATTTTATTGATTGACATGTCTTACTAAAATAACATTATGTGTCCTATTATAAAGCAAAGGACATTAGTATTTGTTGTCAATGTGTCTAAATGGGTATGCAACAGCTGAACATTATTGCATTGTATATTAGCCCATTATACTGAAAGCACTGCACTCGACTAATAATTATTTCACTCAGCTAAAATACGGCAGTAGTTGATATTTGGTAATGTTGAAAGTATTGTAACAGTAGTAGTTTGATGTGATTATCATTGATGTATTTAATATCATGTGAATTCAACAATGTTTTACAACTGTTTGCATTTCATAAACTCAATAAGTAGGGCTACATTTAATCATCAGTATATTACTAAAAAAAACATTTTAAAGTAACGAAATAAGAGAGGAGAAAGAAATGACTAAGTTTTGTTCTATTTCATAACTCAGAAATGTGTTTCTAGTTAGTTATGTGGATTTGGTAATTGAACATTTCATCATTTTGGGTAGAAATTCTGGAGCCAAAGTGTAAAGTGTTTTTTGGGAGTTAGCATTTTTAGTTAAACACAAGTTTAAATATAAATGCTGTGTGTCTTAAACAACTTAAACTTTTGTGTTGACATTTCAGGAATTTCACCCAAACATGAATGTAAAGGTTAATATGGTAGGTTTGATTGAAACTGAAGAGTTGAAAATGATTGTATGTACAAGAGTCAATTCATTCAACTTTGTTAACATGGTTTAATAAATGTGGAAGATGTAAGAGGTGTAGCGCCACCTCGTGTCGAAGACAGGACGGGATTAATTTATTCAGACTCGGATGATGTATAATATATTGAAATGTCATCGCTATGTTAGGTTTTTAATTAGAAGTGAAATAAACTAAATTGAATTGAATTGAATCTTCTGTATTGCCTCATATCTGTACAGCCAGCATAAAGGCTTGTTCAGGTATGGCGCGCTGAAGCACCGCAAGATTTCAAGCCGCCATGTAAATGAACGGCGACTGCGGGCCACAAAGGACTTGCGTGTATTCACTAAGCAATTGGAATCGCATTACCTTTTACGTCGCTATATATATATATATATATTAAGAAGAAAAATTGAAGAAGGTAACACTAAACGGTAAATTTGGCAGCACGAAATAATAATCAACTGTGAGCCGTTTATCCTCTATCTTGCCTGTGAATTGTGTTGCATGTATGATTTGGTGATCAACTTTAGAATTGGGGACCGGATTGAAATAAGTTTAACGTCACGACTTGACGCTCTGGCGCAATCTTGATCCTTGTCTACTTCAAAATATATATATATATATATATATATCTGATAATTTTGCGAGATATTCGGCCAGCCTAAAATAAATGTATCAATCCTCAATCCTCCCTCCCTCTCACATGGTGCACCCGCAGGCCTACTGTATAAAATAAATGTGTTAAAACTTAGATTTAAAACATATCATACCTTGATTTTAAACCCAGAATATATAATTCATGTACAATTCAAATCTTGGTAAAGCCTCTCTCCTGACGACGGATTGTCAACCTGTTCGAAACGTCGAGCCACTCCCTCTCCCTAGCCTCTCCAACCGGCGTTATAGTTCTCCTTAGAACTATAAGCTAAGAACGATAACCAACAGTCTTTTTCAAGACTACACCTACAGTCCTTTTCAGGACTACACACACTCAAGAGAGAAAGATTATCGAGAGTCCTTCTCAGGACTTCCCAATCATTTCTCTCTCTCACATAGTGCAACCGCGAGCCTACTGTATACCTACATCAACATGCAAGCCGATACTTATAATGAGCAAGAATGATATTGGTCGATAATTTTTTAATGAATGACGATCGTCCTTTTTAAAAACAGGAATAATCTTCGCAATTTCAATTTTGCTTGGGAAAATACCAGTGGACATTGATATATTAAAAAAGTAGACCTACGGTTTTACAAAGAAGGAAAAAGAGCATTTATTAGAAAGGAAAGGGGGCGTCTGTTAAATAAAGGGGCAGTTATTAGAGATGAAAGGAGTACTTATCAGGAGGGAAAAGGGCACTTGTCAAAGTAAAAGGGCACCTCTCATATTTGAATAGGGCAATTATCAAAGGAAAATGGGAAGTTGTCGAAGGAACGGGGGACGTGTCGAAACGAAAGGGGCACTTATAAGAGGTGAAAAGGGGAAGGGGCACTTCTACGAAGTAATAGAGGTAATTCTTAAAAAATTATAGGGGCTCTTTTCCTATGTAAAAAGGGGCACTTTTGGGGTACTAGAAAAAGTGGGGGCACTGTGCCCCCTGCTCCCTAGGTAGCACTGCCTCTGCATTTTCCTATATAAACCAAGGAAACCTCGGTCTATAGATAAACAAAAGAAGATTATTATGCCTCCTGGCTCGATGGCGGTGGCGCTCGGTTTATTGTCGTAGGGATATCTACACAGTTTTGAGTACAACCAGGGTGGGGGGTTCTGCACATGATCTGCATTTTTAACTGAGAAAAGACAAGAAACTAACTACCATCACATCACGGTATCAATATGCAATTATGGCACTGGTTTTTTTAACATATACCAAATGTGTCCACAATAGGGTCTGAAATGAAATCATGTTTACTCACTTCAAACATGTATTTTTAGGATCAGGACTATTCATATTTTTGAGAAATGCAAATTTTGGACCTTAATCTATCTCCTTATTTATTCACCAGATATGAATACTTTGAGTTTTTACAATTTTATTGTAAACTATAGCATATCTAATAACTGTGATATAAAACTCATTTGCTATTAACTTCATCAACAAATATGTTGGTCTTTAAGAATATGTTTCAGAGATTATTCATGCAAATTTTTGAGTTTCTATCTTGAAAAATACAGATTTTGTGTCCCTTGAAAGTGAAAAATAGCTCCAAATTAGGGTTTTGACAATAAAAAGTTTTTATTTCATTAGGTAAAATGCTTTTTTCTTAGGTCAAACTGATTTTATTATAACAACTGATGGTATAAGTTAAATACATCCAAAAAAATTGGGGAACCAGTGCATTGCCTAATAATTTTGATATGTCATACCACTGGTGTTTCGGACGTTACACACTGTTAACATCATAACTTTATTCAAGTTAATTGCTTTTCTTTAAGTATTATTGACCTAAGTTACATTAATTGTTTGCAGACAAATATTTCTTTAAAATTTATTGAAAAACTTGTGTAGTTTTAATTAGTTTTGCATATACACCTAGATTGTCTTCATCGACTACTCAATTTATGTAAGGTATACTGTTCATTTCATGCAGGAACGTGTAGTTAAAAATGCTTATGTGATCTAACAAAGTGAAATATGGAGCTAATAGCAATTGTAGTCATCACAACTCCTAGAAAATTCAGTTACAAACATACTCTCTTTTGCAGGTTATGAACAACAGTGTACAATATATGCTATAGTTTGTTTCGGATGTTACAAGATGTGAACATTTCAATCAGATCATCAATTTCTTCAAACTTTACAACATAGATGTTTAATCGGCTTGCTTTGTACTTTGCCTAAAACTAGATTCATGTAGTGTGTCATTCAATAATATCACTATCACATACATGTACAGTATGTACAGTGTAAGCAAAACATTACAAAAATACTTTTAACAAATAAAAGTATATAAAAGTATCCCCAGTCATTTAAGTAATAAGAAATATGGGAATCCTAATTCATTGTACATCCCGATATTCTTGCATAAATTTGAGGAAGTCACTATATCTTTAGGATCATGAAATGATCATTAACATGTACATTTTGTTATGAGGGTCAAGCATTTGAAAACTGAAAAGTATTTGTACATAAGGCTATTACATTTGAGGGTAGTTCATCCAATGAAAGGATAAAATTATGAATTAATTAATTTTGAAGAGGCTACACCTTATTTTCATGTTCATGCTTTAATTACCCCCACAAATTGGTAATCCATTTTCTTGTCATTTGGAAATTTGGCAGATCTACAGCTATGTCAACATTATGTTGTACAAGTTTCTAGAATAGGTATCAGATACTGATTACTGATTAATATTTTATAATGGAAGCCTTTGTGCTCATCAATTGTACATGTATGCAACCAATGAGTGTGTCATGTAGTGTGCAAGCCAATTTCATAAAATTGCTTGATAAATTGTTATCATTATTAAGTGTAAATGCCAATTCCAGTTTTGGATAATGGCAGTATTAATCCTTTCTACATAGATTAGTTACATGTACTGGGTGCCCTTTTTAAAATGTATTTTCAGATGAAAATACATATTTTTCATAAATTTTTTAGAAAAACATTTTAATTTGCTTGATTTTATCAACTTCATATACCTGTATCATATCCATGTCATGAACATGCACACTGGGTATTGCTTAAGTGGGTGATTTTTATTTTTGTAACCTACCAGATAGTGTAAATTGACCATACAATCTTTGGTTATATGACATAATTTGGAACAACCTCTATAAAAATGAAAACCTCATGATTTGCAAACACACACCAATGTTTATAGCAAAAGGAGAGGTTGAACAAATGAAATTTGCTATTCTCACATCTATCATTGCCCCTCATTTGAACTAGTTAAAGTATGAAAATGTCTGTTAACAGTTTAATGTAACGTCCGAAACGTGCTAACAGCATACCAGAAAGTGCTGTTAAAGTGTCTGAATATTTGTTATGAGTCACTTTTGTTGAGATTTTTTCTGATAAATTACAATTAAGGATATATTGAAGCAGCCAGCCATGCCTTGCATCACAAAGTGTGGCTTCAATATTTTATGTTTTATAAGTCAATTTTGCAGAAAATTTAGATATTTACGGATTATTTGATTTTTGGCATCATATTTCTACACATTTTTATATTTAAATCTGAAAAAATCATCAAAATAGTGTTTTTAACAGGAGTGTCCATTGTGAAATCGTAACTTGCAGATATGATCGAAAATTAGGTGAAATTTGTCGACTTTGTGTTAACAATAAAATTGTGTAACGTCCGAAACACCATTCTTGTGATTACAAAAAATTAATGGATTTGAAAGACCTGATTTGTGTTTTGACTTGTGTTAAGACTTATAATAATTTATTTCATAATGATTTATTCACTCTAGATACCTTAAAATATGGATTATTATCATTTTATTGGTATTTTTTGTTTCGGACGTTACATTTGTTTCGGACGTTACAACTGTTAACGGAAAATTGGTTTTAACTATAAAATAGTATTGTAGTAATGTATTGCAAATTTCTTTGTTTTGGTGGGTAGCTGCAATGAGATGTTAACAAAATGTGATGATAGATATATCCTGCTGTTGATATATTTTCTGCTACTTCAACTTGAAAATTGTTTCGGACGTTACAAAACTGTTTACGGAAAATGAGACGACTTTTTCAAATTTTGAGTATATTTCTAATATAAGCGCTACTATAATTAAATTATATTTTCTTTTAATATAATCAATTGGAGCAACTAATAAACTCACTCAAACCATATACAATCTCATTAATTTGTTGTTCTAGTGGGTTAAATGAGGGTCTATATTGTTTACGGAAAATGTAACGTCCGAAACGCCATTTTCAATTGCACTTTTCTATTAAAATAGGGGAGTTGATTCAGATTACTGTTAAGTTTCTTTAAGATCCACTCATGCTCATTAATTATCAATAGAAAAAAAACCATATTGTTTGTGGCTATATATTTTTTTCAGCTCCGACCAAAATGGCATGTCAATTTTGTTAAAAAATTCCGTAAACAATTTGCTGTTCAGGGATACCTCATGCGCATAAAGCAACGATGAAAAATTTTCGTTAAGCTATGGGAGGTTAACCTAGGTCCATGCTACTAGAAAAAGTTGTTACTGATTTCTAGTTCTTTATCTTTGGAAAGTTTCAGGCTCTCAAAGGGTCATTTAGGTATTTGGTCATAGTTAAAAAAACCAGTGCCTTATGCTCTTCAAACCTCACAATTTGCAGGCCCGGATGAAAGATTTTGTAAAGGGCTATTGTTCGCCACAAGCGCCATAGGCCTACACTCTCATAGACCACTGTTTACAATGAAAATTTGTATGGGGTAGATTTTAACCCACGTTTGAAATTATCTTCTTGAAAGCAATGAAAAAAATAAGGAAAAAATAAAAACAACTTCAACCATCTAATTCGAATCCAGACATTTTGTACAATATCTGGCTGTCAACTATCGATATTTAAGCAAAATAAAAGTACCTGACAAAAAGTGTCCATTTGGTTATACCCAGTAAGTACAATGAGCTGCTTGGTGCACCTGTTTTATTTTCTTATTCTTTTCTACAAATCATCTTTTTGAAAGTTTTTTATATGTAGCCACGAAAGAATAATGCATTAATGAAAACTCGAATCTAATTTGATGACACATAGATGTAACCCCTTTTGGAAAGGATTTCTTCTCTATGTTATTAAAAAAACTAGCTAGATTAGGGAGATGATGTCGCTCTGAGGACCGTACTGCTATTTTTAATTCTCTGTTTTTTTTGGGCTTTATTTTATCTAAAATTCAGTTGAAACAGCCCACCTATACTTGTTCCAAACAAGTATTCCATGTCTAGTTAATTCTCTTTTTGTACTTGGTCTCACGGAGTGCTTTGTCCTTTATAGTGATTTCTCTTCATTCCGGAGCAACGTACGTACCAAGGTACTAGTGTAATAGTATGTGACATACGCACGCACATCTGTGACGTGGGGAATAATGCATATTCATGTCGCCACTAAACTAGTCGCCAATATATGCTACCCCATTTTTGCAATCGACCGGGCTAATCCTTTCGTTTCGCCAGTAATTCATCAAAGACACTGGCATACTCATATCCCGCATTTATGGGTTGATATGCCAACACCATTAGACTTTACAACTGGGGTTTTTCAGCGATCGAATATCATCATGTCTGTTTACGGTAAACAAGGAGGGACGAGTATCATGAAGGTGAGAATAAAAGGTTTTCTGATTATTTTTAGTAAAACAAAAACACTTGTGAAAAATTATGTATGAGACGTAATGCCGGGTTTGAAATTTATAGAAAAGGTGCTTTTCCTTATGTTTCACAATGTTGATAGTTACTGTCGAGGGTAGATCGATCATGTACGAAAAGTTTCATGATATATCCCCTTTTTATATATTATTTTATCATTTCTTATTGTTTTTAATTTAATTTTTATATATTATTCGGCAAATGCCTTTTATTGTTTTAGGGATCTCATCAATTTCACCGGATATACCTGTTCACTCATGTAATATAAACACGGATCGGATGTATAAAAATGTACCGAGTTCATACTTAACCGGTCAGACATAATTAAAGATTCTTTTGATAATAGATCACACATAAACATTGAGAGACGGACAAAACCGGGAACAACAATGAGACAATGTTTTATATTACATGAGTGATATAGGAATACCCAATAACCCTCTAATATTAATAATAAAGATGGCAGTAGTAGTAGAAGTAGTCAGTGGCGTACCTGGGGTACTCCGTCAGGGGGGGCAAGCGACCGAAACAAACAAAAAAGGCGATGCTAATTTTCACTTCTGGCGAGCGAGCGAGCGAGCAAAAAAAATCTTTAAGTAACGTTTGGTATATAAACTGGTATTGTTGCAAGTTGGGGGTGGGAACATTCCCTTGTTAGCGACGTTAATTTCATTTTTTTGCAAACTAGTGTACGTAGCGAGCAAGAAAAAAAATCACTTCTTTTTTAATAATTGCCACTTAAACTTGGTTCAATTGTCCCATGCAGGGCGCGGGAACAATATTGTGTTTAGGGTGATTTTATACCCATTTTAGCTAGCGAGCGAAAATACATCTTTCTCTCAATGAATTGCTATATAAAATTTGTTTCATTGTTGCAGGTAGGGGGCGGGCACAACCGTGTTTAAGGCAATGTCAATCCCATTTTGGCGGGCAGGCAACCCCCTACATTTCTCTTTTTAATGATATTGTAGCAGGTTAGTGGTGGGCACATAATTCCACGAGCTAGCGAGCGTAGCGAGCGAAAAAAAAAATCACTTTTCTTTTATAGGGAAAATATGGTACATAAAAGTTGGGTTCATTGTTCCATGTCAGGGACGTGATTATTAAAAGCGGTGTTAATTCTATTTTGGCGAGCGAGCGTAGCGAGCGAGCAAAAAAAAATCACTTCTCTTTATAGGGAAAATATGGTATATAAACTTGGTTTAATTGTTCCATGTCAGGGACGTGATTATTAAAAGCGGTGTTATTTCTATTTTGGCGAGCGAGCGTAGCGAGCGAGCAAAATTTTTGTAATGATAGTTGGTTCATAAATTTCAGATTTTTTTGTTGCAGGGCAGGGCTTACACAATCATGTCTAAGGTGATGTTAATTAAGTTTTGGCGAGCAGGAGCACACCAAAACTTCTTTGAATAACGTTTCGTACATAATTATTAACTGGTTGTTGCAGGTTGGGGCGGGCACGTTAGCGGTGTCAATTCCATTTTGGCGAGCGAGCATAGCGAGCAAGCAAAAAAAATAAATTCTCTTTTAATAGAAATTAATAAATAAACTTGTTTTTATTGGTGCAGGTCAGGATGGACGCAATCGCGTTTAACGCGATTCAATTCCTTTTTGGCGAGAGGGCGAAAAAACTCATCCATTTTTAATGATATTGTTGCAGGTCAAGGGTGGACACAATTGTTTCCAAAGCAATGTCTATTCATTTTATTCGCGAGCGAGTGTAGCGAGCGAGAAAAATGAATTAGTCTCTTTTAGTAACATTTGGTACATATATTGTGTGTTATTGTTGCCATGGTTGCAGGTCGGGGCCCGTCGGGGCAGGCACAATTGTATTCTAGGCAATACTAATCCTTTTCTTTTTTCAGGGGGACGAGGAAGTGAAAAAATTTAATACAAAATAGGCTAGCAAGCAGTTCGCGCCAGCGAAGAGTTTCAAATTTGTTATATCACTTATATTTTCCTATTTTCATTTGTTTTAATTTTTCAGGGCCGTATGCGGAATATTTTTCTGATGGGGGAAGGGGGAAAGATGCGTTAAAAGTTTTCGAAGAATCTCAAAAGCAAAAGGAGTGAAGGGAGTTCGAGCGACCGAACTGGTCATGAGGGTACTTTTGCATTTTCAAAAGTAGAATTGAAGGATTTGGTATAGGCCTACACTACATTTTCAGGAAAAAAACTGTACGATTTCAAAATATCTGGGGTCAACTGCCCCCCCCCCCTGGTGCTTACGGCCATGTTCTTTATTTTTTTCCCCCATTTTTATTCCTTTCCTTTTCTTTTCCCTTTTTCTTCCTTTTCTCTTCTTCTTCCTTTTTTCTTTCCTTTTTTTTCCTTTTTTCTCTTTCTTTCCTTTTTTCTTTCCTTTTCCTTTTTTCTTTTTCTTTCCTTTCCCTTTCTTTTCTTTTCTTTCCCCTTTTTCTTTTTTTCCCCTGGAGCCCGTCAGGGGGGCACTCTGCCCCCCCTGCCCCCCCCCCCCCATAGGTACGCCAGTGGAAGTAGTGGTAGTAATACTAATACTAATGATAACGATAACAATAATAATAATAATAATAATAATGATAATAATGATTGGGGTGTCTTGGTCAAGTGGATACGTCACCGGAATTTGAATCGCTTTGTTCTCGGTTCGAGTTCCTCCAAGGTGCTAATGTCCTTTTGTAAGTCATTAATCTAAATTGTAATTCTCCACCCAGGTGAAGTAAGTAGGCACCCGGTAGGAAGAAATTACTTGAATGCTTTCGAACCTATTTCGGGGCAATCAGGAACAGCCTGGGTAATAATGTGGTATTTTGTATTAAGCGCAGTAGAGTATATAAATCGACATATTATTATTGATTACAATAATAATTGTCCGGAACAGACAAGGCACACAAAAGCTAGTAGCATCCTTGTGTGGTGTGCATATATCTGTGCGTAGACGTGGTGGGGTGGGATGTGTGTGTGTGTGTGTGTGTGTGTGTGCGTGGTTGTTTAATGGTGCTGTGGGGTGTATGAGCGTGTACTTGTGAGTGTATGTTATTGTGGTGTTTACACGTATGTGAGTATATGGTTTTGCTAGTAGGTTTGTTTGAGTTGTGGATGTCGTGGCTAAGTGATACGATTTAAAAGTGTCTGAATTGTTTTAATTTACAGGCTAACTATCTATTTATTTTTACCTGTATTTTCATAATAATGAAATTAATAAACAAGTGAAAGGATTGATGGTTTTGTTTTGTAATTCAATCCAAAAGTGGTTACACGGGCCTGCTAATAGTAGCCTATGGTCACGACCATAATACAAATATTTCGATTTCTTTTTAAACTTTGGAGTGCGCATTTTATATTAGTTATAATAGAAATAGGGGAAATGTATACGATGGAAAATAGATAAATGCTATCAATCGAGAAAAACTAAACTTAATTTATCAAAGAAAGTATCGTTTTTTTACGTACACTGTTGGTCATAATGGTGGAATATTTATTCTTACCCCACTTTAGGGAAGGATTTTTAAAAATTATTTTTTCTAATAGATCTAGATAATGGCATACATTCTCAGATTTTATTGAATATTAATTTGCGAGTGTTTGTTTTGCGTGACTGCTTAATCATATGTGTGCTACTATGCTTATCAGCTAAGGGACCTACGTCCTTAAGTCATAATTGACAGTAATGAGGATTAATGCCTCACAAAAAGGCACTAATATATAGCTGATCGACACGATTTTTATCCTGGGGCCTCACAGTAACAAGGCCATTGCTTAGCCCCTGAATCATGACTGTACGCAGTGTTTGCTAGGGTACGCGGCCCCTTCCACAAATCCCCCAAAACGAAGAAAATGCAATAAATTGTCAAAAATTCATTGCATTTCCCCCCGGCCCCCAACAGGAAAAATTCCTCTGTAGGGCTATGCATTATGGTTCAAGGCATGGCCACACAGAGTAATTTTTCCTGTAGGGGGCCGGGGGAAAATTCAATGAATTTTTGACAATTTATTGCATTTTCTTCGTTTTGGGGGATTTGTGGAAGGGGCCGCGTACCCTAGCAAACACTGCGTACAGTCATGATTCAGGGGCTAAGCAATGGCCTTGTTACTGTGAGGCCCCAGGATAAAAATCGTGCTGATCAGCTATATTAGTGCCCTTTTGTGAGGCATTAATCCTCATTACTGTCAATTATGATTTAAGGACGTAGGTTCCCTAGCTGATTAGCATAGTAGCACACATATGATAGCAGTCACGCAAAACAAACACTCGCAAATTAATATTTAATAAAATCTGAGAATGTATGCCATCATCTAGATCTATTAGAAATAAATAATTTTTAAAAATCCTTCCCTAAACTGGGGTAAAAATAAATATTCCACCATTATGACCAACAGTGTATTTCGTTTTTTCGAGTACAACGTTGACTCCGGATTAAAATCCACAATAAAAAAATGAACATTTTCCAAAAAAATATTCACCGCAATGGAAAGAAAGATTCTTGTCTACAGGTATTTGGTGAGCCCATCGCCCAGTGTACGATTTTCCCGCGACCCGAACTAAGCGTGCATAAATTGAGTTTTTTGTTTGTTTTATTGTATATGTGATGGATTCTTACATATATATATATATATATATATATATATATATATATATAAATTTGCAAAGACAGGGTACATAAAAAAAAAATTGTACTGAGGCTCATTATTTGTTGTATTTTTGCACATTTTCGAACTTAATATCTTCCTATGGTTTTTTTCCTCAATTACTAGAAGAATTATTTACGTCTTGATAAAGTCTGATCATTCATTGCGAAGTGTAATTCATCCTCTGTTGGGATGTGACGTAATTCAATAAAGCAAATGGCGGCCTCCATGATATGCGACTCTTGTCATTTTGATCGGATTTTTAGTCAATTTGTCGACTTCAAACTCATACTGTAGACCCGTCTTATAAACTATTTAAGCTTGTACATTAGTGACATGCACTGTACTTGGTTATTAGATGGACAATGAACTAGACGAGTCTCGTTCACTGTGATTTCACCTGGCTGCAGTGCGTATTTGCTAACTCACTCGCAAACATGAATTATTTGTATACCATGAACAAAACAATATAACAATGCAAATTTAGGCATCATATAAGCAAAAATACAGACAGCGAAAAAAAAAGGGGGAAATAGATAAATTGTAAAAGAGAGAGAAAATAACAAGATGGGAGAACAGGAGAAATTGAACGGACAATTAAAGACAGAAGAGGAAAAGAGAGAGGTCTAGATGAGACGGGCGAGAAAAGTAAGAAAGCTGTAAAGAGGGATGAGCGGAAATAGAGGGAGAGTGAAACATGCAAAGAGAATTTTTTTTGTACGAAATGAATATTGCAGCTTCACTGACCAACTTCATTTTGGTATAATTCAATAATTCAATGTTTCAATGTTTCATTTTTCTTTCACCAGGCTTACCCTTGGACAATCTGTTTCCTCATCGTGAACATATTAGTTCCTACGACAGGTAAGCTAAAAAAATAATTTTGATTACAAACATTATATAAAAGCCGTTGACAACAAATGAAAATAAGAATATGAACAAACACCCTCATGCATTATTTTTGACGTTTTTCTCAGGAGCCACCAAACTTGTGATGGTGTGTGTGTGTGTGTGGGAAGGGGGTACACTTATTATTTCCTTATACTATTTACAAAAAGTATTGTATGTAGCCACGTTTCACTTCATGTCATTTCAAAAAGATATTATGCTGGTGCGAATACCCACCTCCCACTCCACACACACACACACACATACACACACACGCAGCAAACACAAATACATTTTCGTTTGGTGGTCGCCGATTATTTGCCCTTTTTATTAGCGTTTGTTCATAATGCTCGGTCTTTCCATTTATATTCTAACGACACGGGACGTTGGCCCAATATGTCATAATTCACTTCGGCGTACAAGCTATTTGACTTTGGAATATTAAAGTCATTTATCATCCTTATGAGACTAGGGGCAAACTGAAGGATTATAACACAATTATGAAGCAATAATCAATAATCAATAACCCCACATGCAGCTCATCATTTAGTATTATTTTCTGTACCCTCGATCCCTCACTTCTGTTTTTCATTGTCTACTCTTGGTATTATGACCGTGTTCTTCTATCTTTGTCGTGTAAAGTATTGTCTTGTCCCTTTCTCGTCTCTGTTGGCATCCTCCTTTTTCTTTCCCCTATTTTGTAGTTCCTTTTGTAGTTACAGATTAGATAATTTAATTACTCATTATTCCTAAGTTTCATTTGAGGTGTTCACACTTGTACAAGCATTGCTTTTTAGTGGACCCATCTGTTTCCAACATGTATTTCTTAAATTTGTTTTAAATGCTTATAATTGATTTGTAATGTTTTGTTGGAAACATGAATAAATTTGAAATCTTTGAAATCTCTTTGAAATCATCATGTTAATTTCCTGCGTATAGTCTAGGACACCTACCTACTGGACATCCACCCCCGGATAACCACCCCGAGTTAACCACCCCCAGATGTAACCAAACAATTCCATACAATAAATCAGAATTGAACTTCTTATTCATACATTAGATTGTTCTAAAATCTATCGAGTACATTTTACTAAGTTTTGTATTCAAAATGAAATAATTAATCAAATTTTTCATTTTACTTGATAGGCAAGATTTGAGAACACAACTTTATTGAAGTTTAATAGCAGATCCAGAGACAAGCCTTTCCTAGATATATATTCCCAGTATAACTTGCACATTTTCTGAAGTTAAGGCTTACACTCATGTCTATTAATATTAGTTTGCATTTTATGGACGTAATTATTTAGGCTCATATCATATTTGTAAGTTTATTGAAGACTTGTATTTTATAACCTCCCTTTTACACGGCATATGGTTGTCTCTCATTATTTACAAGGCCGTTCTGCAGATTGCCTCCATATTATCAAATATATTAAATATATATATATATATATTCACACTCACCATCAGGAACCTGTTATCTCTTGTATATCCGCATGCTTAGTTGTTTTGAAATTGATTTAGCAGTTGGACCAGAAATTGTTCTTTCAAAAACTACGTCGCAGATCACTCAATAACTGGGACTTTTAGATTTGCACGAAGACAATGTGGATTGCTACGGTCGACGTCCTCTAATGCACTGCCTTGAATGGACGTCACACGTATCAGTCCAAGCAAATCTAAAAGTCCCTAGTATCACATATACCTGTACATGCCGACCCCCCCCCCCCCCACCCCACGGGGAACGGAGAACATTTCTAAAGTACCCCCACCCCACAAGCTGAATACTAAATATATAAAAAAAAATGGTTTCCCCGTTCATTGTTCTTCGTATGACGAAATAATAATTGTTAAAATAATTATAGATGGTTCTTTTTACAAAGCTTTTGTACGACTGTTATAATGTCAGCCACAGTGATAGACGTGAATGATGGCACGTTAAAAAAAATCTAGAGTATAACGACTAATTACTTGTGTCGTGGTCTAGTAGATACGTTACCAGACTGTGGATCACAAGGTCCGCGGTTCGAGTCCCGCCAGTAGTACATGTTTTACATTTGCATAACTCGTACATAGCTCAGTCATTTTGCTTTTGATGTTTATTAATATTTATTTGATTATTTGTTCAATCGTTTATTCTTCTAATTGTTTAGTCATTTATTCAGATATGTATTAATTGACGTTTACTTCTATATATTTATCAATTCGTTTAATGATTTATTCATCGATGTATTTATTAATCTATTCATTCTCTCATCAATTTTTATCGTAGCATCATATGACGTACATGACGTTTGTCCTCATGTGTCCATGATGTCATGTCCTGTGATTACTCTGGAGAGCGGTGAGACTGTACAATTGATCCCGAAACCCATGCAACCCGATCTAGACTGGTTAATATCCGACCTCCCAACAGATGTCCCGATTCCTGACGATGTCCGACGTTACTATTGCACCGAACCAGGTAGAATTTACATGCCAAATCCCCGAAATGAGGTGGCACGAAAAAAGGGGGAGGCCTCGTATTTCTGAAGGTTCATAACCTGGTAGTTTACTACTTCCGAGAAAAAACATCGAATTTCTCTTCACCAGGGGGTTCCTAATTCCATGGTTGAAAGAGGTATCATTATTCTGAAGGGTTGTAATTCTCATCTTTATTCAAGAAAATACATATAACGATACATGGTTCTACGCTATTTTCGGAATAACGAGCAATATTTTAATGTCTGAAATAAGAACCTTTGGAATTACAAACCTTTTGAATAAACGAACCATCGGAATAAACGAACCATCGGAATAACAAACTACCGGAATAACGACATGTTCAGTGGCGGATCCAGGGGCACAGGGGACTTCCCCCCCCCCCCAAAAAAAAAGAGCTAATTTGCGGCCGGCGCGATTTTCAAATATTCGGGAGCAAAAAAAAAAAGTGCTCTTACCCCCCCCCCCCCCCCCCCTCCCCCGCTTATTCAAAAAAAAAAAATATATATATATATATATATATATATGTCCTCTTACCCGCCGTGTGCCACCCCCCCCCCCCCCCCCCCCTCCCGGGAGAAATTCCTGGATCCGCTCCTAATGTTAAACCGAAGAAAAAACGCAGGAGCCGAAAAAACAGTTGGTTTCAATTCATATTTATATAGCACTGAAGAAGAAGATCCTTTTTATTATGACACAGATCAGAGCTTGTGAATTGCACTTCTACTGTGACCAGGCATAATATTACCGAAAGTGTCATTCTTTCAATATAATTGACAATCATGTATTCACCGATACGAGGTGTCGGGATAATTATAGTGGCTAATTAGATTGACTCTCAAACCAACCGTAGAGGGTTCGAATCGTAGCCCGGCACTAAAATGTGCTTTGGCAAGACATATTGTCCAACTCCACCCAGATGTAAATGAGTAATCTTTTGTCATTGATAACTGTAGGATAATTGCAGGGCCCCAAGGAAGAATAGCATTAAGGCTGAAAAGGCTTTCCTGGATAATCAAGAATTACTTCTGATATCACCAAACATTTCATCTTTTGCCTTCCGGGCTTTTTTTGTCTCGTGCTGTTCCATTTTGCAAGCTTTCTTAGTTCAATTGGCTCTTGTCAACTTTTAAAAATACCTTTTCCACTAAATGTCCAATGCATACTATATACATATCAACTTAAACTTAAATTTTCAAATGAACCTGTGACATATATATAGGAAAAGTGTGAATTCAATTATCAAGTAACAGTTGACTTGATATTTTATAAACATGATAAACTAAGCATTTTGTACTATGATTTTTTTTTGCCCAAAGAAAATTAGATGAACCAATGCTTGAAACTTACTTGAACAAAGGAAAGTATTTGATATAACAATACATTTTCTTTTCGGTTTGACAGTTTATTGAAGGGGTCTTTTGACACATATATGCTAGTTGTTTACACATGTCCTGTACAATGAAAATGTCGACTTGAAGGGAAAACAAAATCCAGTACAGGGCGAGTAACTACATCTAACATTGCATCGAATTTCATTAGATTTAAACAAGCTATCTTTGACGTATCGTACGGAAAACCAGGTAGAAGCTAAAATAAGTAAGGGAAACAATAAATAATAAATAATGATTCAGACGAAAATAAAATTTCGACTGCAATTGAAATATAATGAATCACGCCCACATAAATCAATTCCTCTCTTTATTGAAGCATGATTACGTTGCATAATACACCCTTTACAAAGTCGCCGACCGAAAAACCTGCTTTAATTTTCCAAAACACATGACAAATTTACACGTAAAAGGCTGTGAATCCATTTCGGTATAATGTATGATGCATACATTTAATTTACTAAAGTGTATTGTGCTACTTACACGTCCATTATGACGTAGCTGTTCTACAGGGGAGGGAGCTTAAGGGCTCAATGATGATGTCAAATCAATCATTCATAACCATACCCATCATCATACTCATACCCATTACAAATTGTGCCTTCTCGGTCCTAGTGTGATTATTCCATTGTGATTAGATTGCCAACATGTGTATCTCCAATGACAATTATTTCCATATCCTTTCCTCTCCTAAAGAAAAGTAAAATGAACCAAATGTGGCAGCTATCTGCTCATTCGGACAATTGGGTGTCTGACAATTTTACTTTAGACTGTCTGAAATCGGTACTAAGTGATGATGGTTCTGGTGTCATATTAAAAAAGAGGAAATGAGCTTCTAGTGAAATACAAGCTATAGAAAGATAATTTGGATTGCTTTATTAATTCACAACAAACCTGTGTTTCCTTTTTTAGAGAGATTCTGTTTAAAGCTAAACTCCAGGGGATATTTTAGATGAATTTCTCCCTCATTCAGCGAATGCTAAATCTACAATAATACAATATTTTGATGATGTTTGGGGAGTGCTTTACCTGACTGCTAAGAGAACATGTATATGATTGTAAGTAAACAAGTAGGTGACCCAAACTTACTCGGTGGAAGAAGCACAGTATCAGGTCATTAATCATAATGATGGGCTTCTGATGGGTTGTTATATCTACTCTTTACTCGTTTTCCCTCTCCGTTCTCTTGTTCACTTTTTCCCCTTCTTTTTTCCTCCTTCTTTTTTCTGCCTTTTTACTAAGGGGGCACGTGCCCCATGTGCCACCTTGTTGGTAATCCTCTCAAGCTTTCCATTTTTACAAATGTTATCACATGTCAACCGCGAAAGTAATAGTCCATTGCTTCTATAATAATGATACTGATTTCTTTATTTCTTTTTAATTCCTTTATATGAAATTTGAATAAAAACATGATCAATAAATGACGCACAACTAATCACAGATTTACTGGAAGCTGTGTCGGAAACCCACATATGGTGGGTCATTTGTCAATTTGAATTAAAATTAAGGCACAGCTCCGGCACTTTTGTTGGTTTAGGTGGAAGGGGGAAGGGGCATTGGACTTACTCTAAAAACGAAATAAGAACTTACAAGGCTACTGTTTAGGGGGATCTAGTGTTCTAAGCGTATTTGTTTTAATTCCTGTCACCTCCTTTTTATTTCTCTCTTTTCTCGCTTTCTTATTTATTTTGATTTCTTAACCACTGGTTGAGACATAAACCCTCGTGTCCCCTGTTTCTACAAAACTGTTTTTATGAATGTATTAGACCTTCTGGTATTCACTTTTATATCAATGTTTTTATTTCTGTCACCAGCATGCCGCTCAAATCCTTGTCTTCATGGAGGCACTTGCGAGGAGACGGAGACAGGATTTACTTGTCTCTGTTTAGATCGCTACCGTGGTGAAAGGTGTGAAGAAAGTAAGTGAGTCATGGGTATAGAGGCAGGTAAAGGATTTGGGATGTATGTACGGGAGGGGAGACCCTTGTCTAACATGGAGATGCTTGTACTTGTGAGGAGAGCAAACATGGCGAGATAAGAGGGCTAGCATGGTTAAACAAGAATAAGGTGCAAGAGTGGTAAGTACGACATTGCAAAGGCAGAGTCAGGTACCTGTAAGTGAGTAGAGGGGGGGGGGGCGAACCCTTGTCTGCATGGAGGAACGTGTAAACAAATGCAAGACAGTTATCACTGTCTCTGCTTCGACAACTATCGTGGTGAAAGATATGAGGGTGGTAAGACAGAAGCAGAAACGGATTAGGGATTTATTGTCTTCTATTCGGAGGGTAAAGGGGCAAACCCTGGTCAAAATCTTGTCTTACATGGTACTCGATGAGGAGAGCGAAATTGGATTAAGTTCTTCTGTTTAGATGGCTCTATTGATGAAAGGTGTGAGGAAGGTAAGTGAGACAGAGGCGGATACAGAGGGTTTTTTTAAAGGGGGAGGGACAAGCATTTGTTGAACCCTTTTTCTACATGTACTCGTGAGGATAGCGATACAGAATTTACCAGCCTCTGGTTTGAAGTCCACCATGATATACATCGAGTATACAAAAGAAGAGGTACGGTCAAACCAGTTTAATAGTGGCTCACTCTCTATAACGTCACCTGTCTATAGTCGTCATGTAGTTTGTCTCCCTTGAGGAAGAAACGTGTGTTAATATAGAACCTACCTAGAAAGGCCACCTGTTTACAATGGCCAGTGTTTCCTTGGGTGCCCTCAGTTGAAAGGTTTGACTGTATTGATATAATCTACACAACACGTGTTCTAATACGACTTCAATTTGAGTACTTAGTAACTATGATGTAAATTTGAGTTGGTAAATTTAGCGCCCTACGCAAAACCAATTAGTATTTTCAGGTTTGATGGGAGAGCTGAGAAAATAAAATATTTAAGACATTTCACATCACTGTAAAGTCTCGTTAGAAACTCGTTTTTCCCTGGTCACTAAATGACTTCCATTGTCTTTCTTTTTTCTTTCAATATACCTGTCTTATTTTGATTGTAAACTATATAGATGTAACCATCCATTCTTTAAAGCTTCTTGGTGAAAAGATAAATGAAGGAACACTTGCTTTAACGTCCCGCTCCAGTCCGAACACGTACGTGCTGGTACATCAAGATCATTGGAACATGAATTTATCCCAATTGGCATGTCAGTATCTAGGGTTTGAAGGTAAGACATTATCCTTTTTTTGGCTCTTTTCGGAACACCTCTTCATTAGTTATTTTTTCTGATCATGATATATTCATAATCTTTTTCAAGAACCAAGTCTCTGTGGCCTGTAGTCTTCTCTAAAGCTCTTTGTTTATTTTCCAACACTCCAACCTTTAGAGAAAAACGAATTAGATATAATGACTCAAAGCCCCTCTGCACTACTTGTAGCTTCTTGCTCCCTCTATATAGAAAACAATGCCTGAGCGGTGACCATTGGTCCCCAATGATCCTCTTTTTCTTGTGTTAGTTGAGAGCTGATATGGTGAGATCGCCACCTGTCAGTGACCACGCTGGGTGGTCTAATCCCTCCTGCTCAAACTAGTGCAGACGTGCTTTAAAGCTACGGATTTTTGTTTTCATGATAATGTTTTATTTTTTTTATTACGGATTTCATTTGATTGAATGTACCCTTTGCCATTGCAACTCTTGCAATTCTGGTCGAGTTGGAGATTTAAATTCCATTTTATAGTTGATTTTCTTCCTCTTCAACCTGAATCCCTCTCTTATTCTTTCCAGTTTTCAAAACTTTTGTTTCAGGAGCCTTCCCAAATTGTATTTGGAGTATGTCATCACATATCAGTTCTTGTTGTAATCAATGATGTTGAAATTTTCTTGTGGTTTGCATTTATTTTCTTCAAAATGATATTGTAACTACTATGGTATCCTACTTTTTACTTCAATTTTATTGAACAAGGAGTATTTGCGACGGTGAGCAGTCCATTGTATGAGTCCTCGTCCGTCGATGCTCCTGCTGAAGCCGAATCAGTGAAATGCCCTGCTAATGCCACAAACATTACCGACTGCTGGTACAGTGAGACTAAAGTGGGGCGGATAAGCGAGCACGAAATGATTTCCATTGTGTGTTGCCCTGGTAAGTAATGATAATGATGATAATAATTAAGTTAATCATGATAAAAAATAATACTAATAATGCTAATATTAATAGTTTTAATAGTAATGATAACTATTAAAGCAAAAACAATAATAATAATGATGATTATGATTAAGATGATGATGATAATAATAATAATCATAATAATGGTAATAATGATAATATGCCTCGTCTAAACAGAGTTGACACAGAGTAACTTCATCAGTGAAACTTTATCAAAATGAAAATTTGTTTTACCTGTACAGGGAGTCTAACAAAATGGAGAGGTAGTTTGATTGGCAACATCTTTAAAAATGTTCGACCATCTTCGATGAAAATTCGTTGATAACCTGCAGTAGTATCCCCTTATGGTTCTGTAAATTTCAAATAGTTCAACCGAAAAATACTAACTTGCGATCATTTTTGTAATGAAACGCAGCATTATTATTATTATTTCTTAATTGCAACCAAAACCTCTGTTGGATTTGAAATAAGAATAAAAATACCAACAGATAACAATGTTAGAAATAATATACGCAACGTAATTTTTTGTAAATACTATAGAATGTGAAACATAAATGAATAACAATAAGCAACAACCAAATCATTAAACATTATTGTATAAATAAATCATGAATAAAACATTTCATAACGATTTTATGGTTATACAAAAGCTAAAGGTGTGCGCTTAATATAATTATATTGGCATTAATGCTATTCAAATGATCTCTTTGTAAATATTTCAAACATTGTGAATTTTGCAAAAATAATGTTTTCTCTGTATAGTATCACAATGGCGGTCTCTTGCGTTCTAATATTTATCTCCTACGAAATTTCACCGACGACGGTAAAATACTTTTTTAAGATATCATAATCTCGTTGCATTTTTTGGAACACCGTGTATACCGACTGTTTTATGACTATTTTATGCTATGGTGTGAAATATAAATTTTCACTCTCGTGTTTTATTTGCAATTTTATTTTACTCTATAATATGCTTGTATTATTTCCTGACTTTATTTCCAACAGTGAGCCCGTGTAGTATATCTGGTCAACCACTCGGCCTTGAGAGTGGTGCTCTTCCCGATTCGGCTTTCTCCGAATCAACCTGCTACGCGGCGTCCTACTGCAGCCGTTTTGGCCGCCTGAACTCTGCGACAGTCTGGATCGCAAACCCGCCCGACCAATACCAATGGATGCAGGTCCAATTCGAGTCCAGCTATATCGTAACGGCCATAACGACACAGGGTAGAAATAACGCTGATCAGTGGGTGACGTCATACACTTTTTCTTCTAGTTTTGACAACATGGCTTGGACTGATTATTTGAACGTTTACTCTGGATCAGTCGAGGTAAATGCAGAGCCTCGGTTTCCTCATTTACATTTTAAAAGAACCTTCATCGGTGGTCTTTATGTTCAGAAATATACAGTGTAACCTCGTTAGAACTCCATGGGCCTATGGAAAACTGATCGCTATACTATAATACAACTTCTTTGTGCCAGGGCTGACAAGAAAATAAAATTAACAAACAAAACAAACAAAAATGGTATATATTATTAAGGAATAAAACCGTTTGGATTGTCTTGCTGAAGTAAAAGCTTATGAAACAATGCTTTGATATAACGAGTTCCTACTGTTATTTATATTATTGTTATTAATCTATATATTCTGAAATTTAAAAAACTACAATACAACCAAAGAAAAAAACAGTTTTCCATTTTAACATAGAGGGATTTTAAAAAATGAAAAAAGAAAGAAAAAAAACCCTCCATATTCCATTATCTATATCATGAACAGAAGTATATACCCCAGCTCTCCTGGAGAAAAAAAAATGAACAATAAGTTTACATAGTTCTGTATCTTAGTTTTAGCTCAAAAACTGGGGAACAGTAAAGAGAGAAAAGGAATTTCCTTATTTCGTTTTACATAATATAGGCCCCTTGATTACCTAATAAACCAATAAGGATTTTTCAAAATGAATTAATAGAAACAAGAATCACAACATACGAAAATGACATCTTAGTTGATCAAGTCATGCAGATAGGGAACTTACTATATATCACCTCTTCGTTGTTTCAGACATTACTGTTCAGGATACTAAGATATGGACTTGCAATGAGAAGAAAACAAATGTGAGAAAAACAAACTATTGCCATGATAATCATAACTGGCTCTCCAAAGCCATAATGTGTGTAGTCAGCACTGTATTACTGCACAGGCCGTATAGAGTTATGGACTAACGATGAGCTTCATTAAGAAAGAGTTTTCTTTGCAATATAACTTTAATATGTTTTTTATAGATATTTCCGGGAAATTATGACCGTGATAGCCATGTGACTCACACGCTTGCTAGGCCGATAGTTGGACGCTCTTTCCGGATACATCCAAAGACTAATCACGGTCACGTTTCTTTGAGGATGGAACTATATGGGTATGGACCTCTAACTGACGCCATAGGTAAGTGTACAGTAAGACTGTAGAGCTTCCTGGAGAAAGTTTACTCCTTGTAAAAATGACAAAAGTGACCTCTAATTGATGCCATAGGTTAGTGCAGAGTAGGACTGTTAATGAAAGAGAAAGTTTACTCCTTGTAAAAATGACAAAAGTGACCTCTAATTAATGCAATAGATAGGTGGAGAGTAGGACTACTACTGAAAGAAAAGGTTTATATATATATACATATATATACACTGTTGGTCATAATGGTGGAATAATTATTTTTACCCCAATTTATGGAATGATTTTGACAATGATTTATTCCTAATAGATCTAGATAATAGTATACATTCTCAGATTTTAATGAATAATAATTTGTGAGTGTTTAATTTGCGTGACTGCTAAAGCATGTGTATGCTACTATGCTAATCAACTAGGGGACCTACGCCCTTAAGTCATAACTGACAGTAATGAAAAGTAATGCCTCATGAAAGGGCACTAATAAAGCACATCGACACAGTTTTGATCCTGGGGGCTCACAGTAACGAGGCCATTTCTTAGCCACTAAATCATGACTGTACGCAGCGGGGGCTACACTACGTCGACGCCTCCACAAATTTAAAAAAAACAATGAAAATGCAATAAATTATCAATAATTCATTGCATTTTGCCCCGACCCCTAACATAACAAAATCCTCTATGTGAGCATGCCTTGAACCATAATGCATGGCCCAACGGAGGAATTTTTCCTGTAATTATTAATAATCATCATCTCACACTCAGGCTCAAGCAATACAGGAAAATATTGCAAAATGTGCATGGCAGGTGTTATGAACACGTGAACAATCAACATACCTCTAATGTTATAATCATGCTAAATATTGATTAACTAAGATTAACCATTTCCTAATTACAAATCCCTTTTTTTCTCTCCATTTGTTTTTGTTGATGTTTTGTTTTGTATTCCTTGCTCGTTTGTAATTATTAATATGTCATATGGCTCGTTGACAGGGTAGATTTCATGGATAATATTTAAGGAAAATATATTGAAAGGACAACCTCGCCTTGCAAATTAGTAGGAAATAAAATAACGTTAGTTACAAGGTCTTTATTCTTCTTTTTTGCAGCGTCGCTGAACCTCGATGCGAAACTTGGTTGCACCCCTTCTGTTCTCGGTGAGGGGCTAGGCGTGGAAGATGGTCGGATACCAGACTCTAGTTTGACCTCGTCATCGTTCTCAACTTCCGGCCGTGAAGCTTACAGAGGAAGGCTGAATGCCGTTGTCATTGCAGGGGGATCCGCCGGGGCATGGACCTCCGACCTTAACGACAACAATAAGTGGGTCAAGGTAATTTGCTCTAGCATGTCTAAATGCGCATTGAGATGATTAGAATTGAAGTGTTTCCATATCAAAAAATATTTTGTGTACAGCTAGAATATATACAAATCAACCTTCTCTTCGTGTTAGGCTGCATAGCCCTTTGAAGATTACCAGAAGAAGAACCAGAAAAGGGGTTTACCTGGCTATCTATTGGGTAACTGATTAGAAGTATGCATACATAAAGAATAACAAACTGTAATGTCCGTGCAGAAATGCCATATCCCTTGATTTCGCCCCTTCTTTACCCAATGTCTGACTACACCAATATGCATTGTCCTCAAAATTAATGACCCTAATGGCAAATCATGCATTTAATTGCATTTTTTTTAAACTGTAAACGTGTGTTGGATTTCTTCCCCCTAACATTCCTAATTTGAATAAACATAATTCGAATACGAACAGGTACTAATTTGAATGATAAAAATGACGCCTCGACAAGTGACGATTAATTTGAATGCTAGTTAAGCAGTTTCTAAATTAAATGACAGATCTATGAAAACCTTTGACCAAAATTCTAAATTAAATACCAAAACGGGAAAATTTAATGATAATTGGCATGGCAAAGCCGATCTGCGCTAACTTAAATGCAAAGTAAATGAATTCGAATGACAAACTCGCGAATTTCGCCGGGAAATCCTATATTATTGTTATTATCATTGATATTATTATATTTATTGTTACTATTATTAATATTAATATTATCATTATTACTTGTAATAGTATCATCATTATTATTATGACCAGTATTATTATTATTGTTATTATTATTTCAAGAAGTGTCTGAAATCACATATTTTATAAATATAATAAAGGTTTTTGCGGCCAATTTCGCAATGTTGTCATTCAAATTCATGAACGTGCATTCAAATTCACATTGAGGTCGCTCGCCGGTGAATTCGGGCATTTAAATTCAAAATCCGAGCAATTAATCTCATTTATCGGCACTCTTATTAATGTTCGGTAAAAGAAAATTCGAAAATGTGAATACAAGTTCCTACTTCGTGCATTCAAATTATTAAACGCGGCGCTCGCGGTGGGCCTGTTTGGGGCATTCAATTTTATTTGTTGGTGATCAAGTTAAATACTTGTAATTATTGCTAATCACTGTTACACCGTGAAATCTCCACAGTTTAGTTAATGTTCTTTGTTTATCTGACAATAAATTGTTGCCCTTTGATCATGTATTTGATTATCATATCACTAATTATATATAAATATATACATGAATATCCCGTACTGCGCCATTCATTCAAAGCAATGTTATCAAATGCAAGATAATCTACCATCGGATATATCAATATTTTTTCTTCTTTTTATCATTAAAATCACACGAAGGTCGATCTCGGCGAGGATACTTTGGTAACTGGTGTTATCACACAGGGACGGACCGGGACAAACAAAAGGGTTACGTCATTCCAAATCTCCTACTCAAGGGACAATACAAATTGGACCTTTGCTCTGGAAGAGCAGTGTGGGGTACGAAAAGTGAGTTTCATTTTCGCGTTCCAGAAATTGCTTATGTCATTTGTTGCAAATCTATCATCTTCCTTTTTTATTTATGTTCTTTGTATTACTTATATACTTATGTTTTGTTTAAATTTCTTTGTTTTTTCTGCATGCAATCATTTTCCCATATCTACATAAATTTACACATCCAATGCATGACATTTCCTAGTATGCAAAATTATAAGAAATTGAAAAAGTATTGAAAAAATAGAAACAGTTCCATTAAAATCAATTATTTATGTGCCTTGGGGATGAAATCTCTGTGCCATATTGCACTTCTCATGGAAGAGTGATACCGAGGGATTCGAGACAAGACAATTAATCAACATTTGCCATTCTCCACTCAGGTGTAAATGGGAACCTGGAAGTTTCCGGGGATTATTCGAATTACAGGGCCCTTGGGTATAGCAACAGTGATGCTGATGAGGCTTTTCTTGGTTAATAAAAACAATTGTTTATTATTATTATTAGTATCATTATTATTATTATCATCATCATCATCATTATTATCATCATTATTAGAACTAAACATTGTCCATTGCTTTCGTTCTTTTTCAGACATATGCAGGAAATTTTGATGAAGCCACATATGTGACAATACTGTTTCCTGAGCCAGTAACCGCACGATACGTCACGTTTCATCCTGTAACAGCACATAATCGTGCGTCTATGAGATTCGAAGTACTTGGTATCAACACTTGAACCATAATGAGTTATCATTAAACTGATTAATTATTTTATTTAATCTTTTTATTCATTTATTGATTTACTTATTTAATTATTTATCTATTTATCTATTTATCTATTTATACATGAATAGTATCTAAATTAAAGGGTGAGTCGATCAAAATTCTAAATGATTTCAGTATAGCGCTATAGTTTTGTTGTCATACGATTACATGATTACAGGTTTGACTTGTGTTACTAAAATAACATTATGTGTCCAATTACAAAGCAAAGGACATTATTATTTGTTTTCAATGAGTCTAGATGTTTATGCAACTGCCGAAAGTTATTGTACTGAATTTATATCAGCCCATTATACTGAAAGCACTGCACTCGACTAAAAATGATTTCATTCGATCTGCTGAAAATACGGCAGAAGTTGATGTTTGGGTATGTTGAAAGTATAACGATAGTATTTTGATGTAATTTTCATTCACGTATTTAATATAATGTGAATTCAGCAATGTTTTACAACTGTTTGCATTTCACAAAGTTAATAAGTAGGGCTACATTCAATTATTAGTATTAATTATTCTTTGTTGTTGATGAAAAATTGATGAAAGAATACAAAAATTAGGTTTTCTGCGTAGAACATATATCCCAAGTTTTGTACTCCTTCACCAATATTTGTCTTCAAAAACTTTTGTCTTGAAAATGGTTGCAGATTTTAGTGTTAAATGACATCCTCTTTCACATCATTACACTTTTTCAGCGAATTTGGGGCTCCCAACATGCACGTTGGCGGGGGTTTAAAAAGAAGGTTTATTAATTTCGAATTTGACTGAATTTGGCATCATTGCAATGTTAAATTCACACTTAGTAAGAATATACATTTGTTTAAATTGTAAATTCGAGCAAAAATTATAAAAGTTGAATAAAATTGACTAAAAATCAACCCACTCAAGACTCCGAAAGCGATCGTAATAGGCGAGTTTGAGTAAGATAGATAGTGAGGGAGAGAGAGAGAGAGAGAGATAGAGAGAGAGAGAGAGAGAGAGGGAGAAAGAGAGAGAATGAGTGAGGAGAGCAAAGAAGAAATAACGGAAGATGGAAAGAGAACACGAAGATTGAGAATAAGTTGAGGAACCGACTTTGATTTCTCTATTTATAAAGAAAATAAAAAATCTCTTTTTTGCATGAACTAAATGGCACATAATAACCTGGTATCAAAGCACATACATGGCCAACCTATATCTACACGAAGCCTAGTGAAATATGTCTTTTCTTGTTTGCCCCCTAATATTTAAACGTTGTTATTTTCCATTTCTGATCTTGTATTGTATTTTGCCGTTTGTAGTTTGAAAAACAATTTGTACCATACATTTGTTTGGATCTACAGTATTTATATTTCATGTGGCCAACATATATTTGTGGTGGACAAGAAGATATTGAGAAGGAAAGAAAAAAAAAGAAAAAATTAGCAATCATAACCTTGAGTCCTGGGTCAACGCCACCGTTGTGGATTTCTCCACTTTCTGGAGTTTCATCGATGATATCATAACCAACGCCGAGAAAATTCTGAACGCCGGGGGGGGATGTCAAAGATGCCTTCATCTCGTCGTCAACGACTTCGACCTCATTGGCGGTGTCGAGATCGTTTTCAAAGTTTGGGTCGACGTCATCGATAAGGGATGTGTGGCCTCCATGGAGTACCGTATAGCAACATCTCTATTCTCTGTAAAAACAAAGTTTTTTTTTATTTATGAAAGAATAACAAACATTGTGAAACGACTTTAGCGACCACCTGTCTATAAAGATGTTTGTTTTCCTTGGACAATTTCTCACCAAACCATGCAATTAAAGGAACCTCGAAAAAGACTATCTTCTATTAATATATCTATTCCTATTACATTATATCTCTTATTTCTTCCATAATTGAAGTTTGTGAATTCGGTAAGAGTAGAAAACTGACCGAGGAGATATTATGGCCAGAGCATGATTGTGGCTTTACACCGAAAAAGGGAAATTTCTTTGTCCAAAATATCAGACACAATATCATCACTTTGAAAAGTCTACAGCGCTGAAATTGAGAACATTTAATGAACTACTGAGGTATATGAAAGAGGAAAAAAAGAAACCTAGCTACTTGCCATTCTTCGAATGTGAACAATGAAAAAGTGTCTTCTATCTCTTAAGTTGAGGAATCATTTACAAGTTCAATGCTTGAGTATGTTGATCACATGTAAGATACAGCATATGGGCAGGCATAGGGATGTGCCATGAAGGGTAAGAATGCATATTTTGCAAACTGGTCAAGTTCAGATGGATGCGAGTCATGTGATTAATCACGTGATTCCATGCAAATGGGGCACCTCGGTTTAGTGGTTCATTTAACTTGACCATGGATGAAAAGGTCATGGGTTTGAATATCGACTTAGTCTTGTCCTTAGAAAAACTGTCTATCGTTAGTTGTTGCAACTCATGGAAGTGTAAAATGGGTACCTGGCAGCATTTCCTGAAATACACCGTTTGGTAATAATGGGTACCGAGGCTACGAGAAAGAACTGTAATTCAATTTCCTCACTATTTCCAAAGCAGATACATTAAGAGGCGACATGCACTACTAGAATACGAAATATTTCATTATGAGTGGTATGTAACATTAAACATCGAAAAATCAAGGGCATATCATCAGCACCCTGATAATGAAATAATACTATAGCAACGGCCTATAGCTCGATAACTTAGAATTTTTGCTGGTCAACTGTGATCCATTATACAGTCATCTTATGTTGACGTTTGTGACATAACTTCACACTTAAGCGGGTATTATGCAGGTAACCCGAGACCACTTTTAATTTGAAAAACCCGCCGATGAGAATATCATGCAAAAAACTTTGCTACAGGCACAGATCTAGAGGCACTTAACAAGAAGAATCGTCTTCTTGTAGCTCCTAGCTTTCAAGCGCTTTCATTTATTTATTTGTGGAGAAATTGCTAATATCCACAGACGACCATATAGCATCCTCATCAGCAACAATAGTAACAGCAACACCACTATATCAACGAGTTTGAACTCAGTTTGTTTTTCATCTAAAAAAGGAAGGAATGATAATCAATTTCATACATACAATGTGTTCGTATCCTACGGAGACATATTGAGGAGGGGTCACTCGGTTGAGAATACAATTGACACTTGTGTGATAATTGTTGCGACTTTTCCAATAGTTACAAAACGCTTTTCGAGTGTAAATCAATGTGTACACTAGTATCACTTTCAACCTATCGAGGTTTCGAGGTTTAGAAATATATTAGAATAAAATGATGCGTTTACCGTACCCACCGCCCATGGGCATGGGAAGTCAGCGAAATATGACCAATATGTCGTCGTGTGGTTATCGTCCAGCCGACTGCGACTACGTTCACGACTTCTATATTGTCGCCTTACCCTTACTCGTCATCATCATCGTGATCGGGTTCGTGACCAATCTCCTTGTTCTTTACATCATAGTGGCTTATAAGGTAGGATATACTATCAGCATTACTTCTATGGCTGTATGATTGAGAATTATTGATGTCGAGTGGATCAGGATTGTGTCCGGTCAACACTGATCTTAGACAGCAAAGCTCGGCCGGACAACTATACCTACAGACAATCATTTGGTTAAGCTTTATTCCTTTTGTCTTTCGAGAGGGACAGATGCCGAATGAATATTCATTTGAACAGTTATTTCATAGAATGGCCACGATTAGCGATGTTGCTGTTGCTGTTATGGTTAATGATGATGATGATGATGATGAAGATGATAAAGATGATGAAGGTGATGAAGGTGATGAAGATGATGATGAAGATAATGATGATGATTATGATAATAATTATGATGATTATGATACTGATGATGAAGGTGATGGCGATGACACTGATGATGATATTGATGATGATGAGGAGGAGGAGGAGGAGGAGGGCGAAGAGGAGGAGAGTCATAATCGGTATCGATAACGTCGATGCTAAAGATCGCTGTTCTTTTTATTCGTATTGGTAGACAATGAGAACTGTTCCCAACTGCTATGCGGCCAATATCTGCATCACGGACATCATCTTCCTCATCATGGCATCAATAACCGACGTCGCTGAATACGCTCGTGGTGTCTCAGGGATGGCAAAGTCCGTGATACCACGTTCAGTGAGCGTCTACTTCCATCTGGTAAATACACAGGTGCTCCGCCATTAGATCATGTGGAACTCCTCCAAACTTGATTGCATCAAAGATATAGGTTAGGTTTAGGATTTGGGTTCGGTAAAGTCTTTGGTCTAGAACTGAAGTTATGAATTCGGTCAGAGTAGAAAACCGTTTAGCAGGGTGCATTGGGTTAATGACCTTGATGTTTCCATATAAGCAAGGTATAAAACATTGTGAAAGTATGCACACGTACACACAATGAAGCAACATAAACTGGACCGATTTTAGAACACACTGAAACAATCATCAGGTATTGATACGGCAATTACAGCAACTGAACACAATGAATAGCTCGTTTAAGGCGCTTTCTTCTGATTTTATAGTCTGTTACCCAAGTTTAATATTTGATTCTACTATACTTTGAAACATACTTTTCTCTTCTTAGTGTAAGACGTCAATTCCTTTTCCGTATATTTAGAGACGATCTTACGATATAGTACCAGAACGTGTAAAATTATGTATTGCCATTTTTGTAATGCATCACCCTGTGAAATATGCCATATTGTAACATGTTAATATCTGCTCTAGTCTGTACCACGCTACTGCATCCATACACCTTGAATCAGATCTAAACATTTTGTTTAAATCAAAATACCCTCACGACATATTCGTTTGTTTACAAGGAATTTCTCTCTTTAAGGTGAATACCAGGCTTTGAATAAAGTACTGGCACCCAAATTAAAATATAAAAACGTATATCAACATGTTTTGACAAAGATGTCTTCCAGTTTCTGTAAATGGGTGACAATTTACTTTCAATTCCTCTCATGTGCTGGTGACCCGACAATTGATCCGTGCTTACGTTCAACAAAGGTTAGGGTTGATGCATTAGGGTTTTAGATTATGTTTGAACTTAGGAATTCGGTGAGCATAGACAAATGACGTGGATCAAGTGTCGTACAGTCCATATGCCTAAGATGATTGTTTGAGGATCTTCTTTTTTACCTAACTGCTAAAAAAGCATATATATATATTATTCCTTTTGAAGATGGTGAGATCCTTTCTCCCCAAATTCTTTTACAGGTGCTAACCAATGCAACATGTGCGATGCTTTGTGCCTTAGCCTTTGATCGATATCTAGCTATCGTTCATCCATTTAGGTTTAAACGATTCCGGACCGTCAAGTTTGCTTTCATCATCGGAGTCGTAGCGTGGTTCGGTAAGTGTGCAATATTCATAGACATCACAGACGCGAAGGAAAGTGTCCACTGTTGATTTTTTTATTTTTTTTATTATTAATTTAAAAAAAAAAATTGTTATTTTGTGGTTGTTACAATTACAACTTGCTCCGTATTTCTAGCTAACATCGTGTTTTTAATCCGTATGAAGTGAAGAAGCAGAAAGAAAAGGAGAGGGAAAGAAACTTCAAGAAATAAGAGAAAGAAAAATGAGAAGGAGAAGAAAAGTGGAAAGGAAAGTGAAAAGCAGATGATAAGGCTGTCTTCAACACCATCACTTTTTTATCAGTTGCTCTATTGATTCGAATTTCATCCACCACATAAGACGATGCCCCTCGCCTCCCACCCAAAAGTTGGGAGGGCCTCTCAATGGATGTGCCCACGTTACGCAAATTTGTAGTTCGTAACGCTTTTTATCTTTATTTTATCGAAGTATTATATTACATGTATCTACATGTCCTCGTGTATGCCATCTTTTCTCTGTGTTTGCTTCTCTCTCTCTCTCTCTCCCTGTATTTATACCTATCTAGTACTAACTCTGTTTTCTTCTCTCTTCCCACCTCTCCCTCTCTCTTTATCACCATCCTTAGTTATTAGCATTAGTCTCTCTCTCTCTCTCTCTCTCTCTCTCTCTCTATCTCTATCTCTCGCTCTCACTCTATCCTAACAATGTCACTGTCTAACCCGCCTCCTTTCACATCTCTCTCTCTCTCTCTCTCTCCCTCTCCCTCTTCTTCCATTTTTTCCTCTCGTCTCACTCACTCACTCTGTACTGTACCTTTATGTTTTCCTGTCTCTAGCTCTTTTTATTCTTCTGAAATACACACAGTAATCACATGTTCCCAAACTCCTTTCTCAATCGCCCTGACTACTCCAATCTCAAACATACTCTAACTCAGTTTTATCAACTTTCATCCCCCACAGTATCTTTTGCAGTCTGTACTCCAATATACGCTGGTGAATTGACCGAATCCACCTACGAAGCTTTCACCTTCCATGATTTCGTTCTCGCCATCATCATCTCCTGTATTTTCTCCTACGTCCTGCCACTGATGGTCATTGCTTGTTGCTATGTTACCATTCTATGCAGTCTCTTCAGTAAGGCCTCCTCCCTACGCGGCTCCTCCTCCTCCTCAAACGGCCTGGAGTCGCGCATGCTCAAACGTAACCTCGCGGTGCTCAAATCCATCCTCATCATCGCCCTTGTCTTCGCGCTCAACTATGGAGTCTTTTACGCAGTATATCTCTGGCTAAGCCTTTGCGCGCCGCAGAATTTCCGCAAGGTATTCACGGCATCTCACGTCGCCTCTCTCCTGGAGTGTGTTGGTCTGTGTTTAAACCCGATCATCTACGGCTTAATGCAACCAAACTTTCGACCATACTTGAAGGACATACGTGATAGGATCAAAGAGAGGCGTGGCCGATGCTGCCAAAGGGGGCGTGCCTTCAAAGAGGTTAACTCCAATGCGATCACCATGGGCACGAAAGAAACAAGCCTCACAGAATCAAAGAAGGACCATTTAGAAACTGTATCTAAGATTCAATGACTAATATTACTAATGTTTCTTAGATGTACAGGGAATGTTTATTTGATTTACAAAATAATAAAATTCTCCATTTACTCTTGAAATTTTGAAGATCTTTAAAACAAAATAGTTTCTAACGTCAATAGTTAAAAGAAATCCTTTAGTGATATTTACAAAATCTTACGAATACTTTGAAAAACGCAAGCCAAAACATTAGGTGCAAAATCTTCTTATAATTAACAAAGTTCAATAGTTATTTCAAGCAAATTCTATATCGAATTAACAACATTAACTTCAATGCAAAGCCTAACATATATAGGCCTACTAGGTATTGTGATGCAGCATAAACACAAAAACGAATATCAACAGAGTAGTGGGATATATTGTCAACTTTTGAAGTAAAAACATTTCGCAAAGTGGTTACTTCAAAAATACGTTTGGTAGATTTCCATAGTCTTGCAAATATTCCATTAAAATATAAAAATTGGTTACTGCGCTTCCTGGTCGTTCTAGTGTTTTACATGCGATAGGATATCTTATCATTTCCTCTTATTATAATGATGTAAAATGAGACAATATACATCAAAAGTTACGAAATGGGTTTATTTATATGGCTTATTATTGATATAAACAACCTATCAGACGTTTTGGCATTCAGAAGTTCTTATCAAGTAATAAAAATGATAATAATAATAATCATAATAACGACAATTTCTATGTGAATTCATTCTGTGTTGTTTTCGTATCTATGTATAAACGCAATGTGTACACACACGAGTGTATACAAGAGTGTTTCAAAATATAAAGAAGAAGAAAAAAGATAAGCAATTCCCAATTTGTGTTTATCTCTCGGATCACTTACTTTCAAGTACTGCGGAAATCAAAACCACCAATTAAGCGGTCGTTGTGAAAGTAAACAACTAATTATGGATCTTGTGACTGAAAGATACTCCTTTAAATTTGAAAGCACGTGTTGATAAATTATTCCGAAAGGTTATTGGACTGATGAAGATAAATTGGGGGAACGTATCTGCTGATAAATGAATCCAAACGTAGCAAAACTGAACGCCGTTGTTATATTAAGACTTGAAAAATCTGAAATATCCCAAATAAACAGATAGATCACTGGCCTATCGGTCATAATCCCTAAAGCTATAATTTATTGCACACTTTGCAGTTAATTTTTTTTTAAAATCAACATAGTGCAAATAATTTCGTATCAAACCAAAGTCATAATAATGTACAAATTAAGTTTGTTTTTTTATGTTCTTTCGTGAATGAGACCCCTGCTCTACCACTGAGCAATCGCGCCTCCACCTATAGTACCGAATTGTGACGTCATATTAGCCAAGTTATCAAGGTTAGTGGCGGATCCAGGATTTAACAATAGGGGGGTGAAGAAGCCTGAAATTTGAAAATCGCCCCGACCGATATTTCGCTCTACAAATTTTTTTCTTTCTTTTTTGCCCCAGGAAATGTGATTTCGCTCAGTGGGGGGGGGGGGGGGGGGGGGGGGGGGGGTAGTGAGCCCTAAAAGAAACATTATAAAAAATATTTTAAAAACACATGAGAGCTCGGAGAAGCATTATTCTTGCTGATATACAATGATAACGATTGTTCATGTTGGCTCTAATGTTTAGCCAACAACCCTATCCGTGAAAAGGACACATTTATGTAGATACACTCGTACTTGTAACCTAGTCCTACACAAGAGTTTCTTGGAATATGAATTCGTTCGTGTTAGGTGACTCTGACGCCGAGCTATCGTCATCCCCCAAACCAATTGAACATCCAGTAATTGATAACTTCTCACTGTCAAGCTCAATTACTCCAAGATCATAGTTGATGCTGTCATCATTGTCCGTTTCGGGGTCTGAAATACCGCAATCAAAGTCGTCTTCACTCGAGTAAGAATATACAATCTTCATTATCGTACCAGGATCAGTATTTCGAGTAGTAAACTCGTCCTGCTTTATGTCATATATAATTACATCAGATGTGTCATCATCGTCGTCACCGTTTTCATGGCTTTCACGATCTCTCTCAAAGTCATCCCCAAGCAATAAAGTGCTATTCGACGTCCCACATGCGCTCCAATTTGTATCGAGGAAAAAGTGTCGGTTCGTTAGGACGCCCTCTTGGTCAGCATCATCAATGGTCTCCGTCAGGTTCGGATTTGAAGCTTTTGTTTCTCTTGTGACGAATATCGAATCAGAGGCTTCCTCGCGAATCAACGCCTCTGTGACTACACGATGAAATTCGTTTCTTTGGACTTTTGTTTTAAGTGGACAACCCGAAGCCGTTGCGACATTGGCCCGAACGTCCATGTGACGCGGGACTCGTGGTTTGAACAAAATATCACTAAAGTTGTTTCCATCTCCAAGGTTTTGTGTCAAAGCTGTCGATGAACCATCCCTGTGCTGGACACGTCCAAGGCCTTCGCAGAAATAGGTGTGCTTTGAAACGCGTTTGCTACGAACCACAGGATTGTTCCTCAGTCGTTGTACAGTATGGTCTTCTAGAGGGGGTGTTCGGGTGACTGCTTTCCCCAAGTCTTCACGTCTTCGGGGTGGCGGTGGAGGAGGGACAGGTCTAAAGTCACGCGATGTTAAACGTACGCGATGTCCGGACAGAGGATGGTTCTTATTGGTTTGTATATGGTTGGCGTCTTCAGAGTCTGCAGATCTAGAAGGGGATCCAGTGGGAGAAGGTCTCATAACCAGACTGCTGTTAATATCCTGGTAAATAACTGATCTCGCTCGAATGGATATCTTCCTGCAATTCTGTCCACACTGTGATAATTGCTTTCCTGCGAAAAGGATAACTACGGCCAACAACAGCCCAATAATGATATATACAGTGTTGCTTGTAGAGAAGAATTGGGAAGTTCCTTTATCCTGTATGGCATTGTTTTGACCACTCGTTGATGACACTCCTGTTTTCCTGTTTACATCACCTAACGTGAACATAGTTGGTGCGATTGTAGACAAGTTGCCCTTCGTCGAGATTTCGGTCGACCTTAAGTGCCTTGGGGATGTCATATTTGGGATCTCATTTGCAGGAGGCACCATTGGTGTGGTCATATTATAGGGGAACGATGGATCACAAGGGATGTACCTTTTCGGAATGGAACTCAGTAGACCACCATTCAGGTTTACACATTTTACTCTTCTGATGTCACCAAAGGACATCGGAAGGATGAAGTCTACCGTCGATAAGGAAGAAAGGCTGACACTTCGACTACGTTCTTTTTTAATCAGATTATGTAACCACGTAATCCTGCAGTCACATATCAATGGATTTTGGGAAAGACGCAGTTCGAATTCACGGAATCGTTTTGGCCGCACGTCACGAGAAATTGTTCGCAGAGCGTTTTCGTGAAGATCAACGAATGACAAGTGCGTGCCGTCGAATGTATTTGGGCCCACAGACTCGATTGCGTTGAATTTTGCATCAATTGCTACCACCGACGGAATGGATCTAAAGGCTTCCGAATCTAGCCAAACAATGTTGTTGTGGGAGATATCGAGGTATTTTAGGGATATGAGGTCTGTAAAATATGACCCTTCAATAGATTCAAGATTGCAATATGCGAGTATCAGGTAGCGTAACCCTACCAAACCTTTAAAAATGGCTCGATGTAATAGAGGTCCTACCGGGTTCCTGGACAATAACAGGATCTTCAGTGAAGGCACAGTCTTTGGATGCGAGGCATCCCTTGATAATTCATTTCCACACGTCTGTGGAGTATCAAGATCTGTAGGCCCACCCCAATAGCTATAGTTTGACCGTTCGTTCTCTATGTTAGAGATGTTGTTCCGTCTCATGTCAATGAAGAGGACATTATTGAGATCGGCATTCCAGTATTCCGCCAGAGAGACGATGTTATTGTTTTGCAGATATAGGTGTGTCAGCATGCGAAGTCCAGCGAATGTGTACCTCAATAGAGTCAAAATTCTGTTGTTGTTAAGGTAGAGTTCAACCAGGGATACCATTCCACAAAACGATCTAGGCTCTATGCGAGAGATCTTATTGGCCTGGAGTGTGAGGTTTTCCACTGATCTAAGATCGGAGAAAACACCTTCGTGGATTATTGCTATAGAGTTATTTTGTAATGTTATTTCTTCAAGACCTTCCAAAAACTTGAATGAATCTCGATGAACTCTCCTAATATTTGCTGCTTGCATATCAATCCGGGTCAGGCGGACCATGCCGTAGAATAAACTTGGCGGCAGTTTCTTGAGTTTGTTTTTGGAGAGCTGAAGTGTCGTCAGCTTGCCAAGATCCCGTCCCCAACCAACCTCAACCGTCATGATAGAATTGTTGCGGAGTTCCAAGTCATAGAGGGATATAAGGAAACTGAAGGAGCCATTCTCTAAAGCTTTCAGATTGTTATTTTGCAGGTAAAGATACCTGAGTTGAACCATACCCTCAGCCCAGTTGCTTTGTAAGCGAGCGATTTCATTATTGGAAAGGTCTAAGGATTCTAAGCGTGTAAATAAGCACCAAACGTTTCGACCGATGGAAGATATTTTGTTTTCGGATAGGTCCACCAGAGAGACATTGTCAGCACCGTCACACCATCCTGGAAACAGGGTTGTGATTTTGTTGTGACTCAGAAGGATACTTTTTAAGTTACCGAGTCCAACAAAGGTTGCGTTGTGCATTGCTGTCAGAAGATTGTAATTCATGGACAATCTATGAAGGTTGATAAGGTCCTTCCCCCAGTCAACCTGGAGATTCCGGACCAAGTTGTTATCGAGGGACAGAATCGTCAAAGAAGTGGCCCCTTCGAAACTGTCACCCATAACACTATCAAGACGATTGTTTTCCAAGTTCACGGTTGTCACTGACGGTAGGATTGTGGGTATGCGATTGAGATTCCTTCCATAGCAGTCCTGCATGTCACCATTCCTAGAGCAACTGTCAGGTGTGGCCGTGGCTTCTTTCATGGTATGCAGTGTAACCACTGTCATTAAAGCAATATGTAGATAATAACTATCCATCGTGGCCTTTGATTGGATCAAGTTTAGAGGATGAGCTCACTAAGTTTTCTCAGGTCAGCGGCAAAATCTGTAGATTGATGGTAAAATTTGATGAAAACAATATTACTTCCAGCTTATCACAGCTTTGTTTTACTAATTAAAAAAAAACGCTCGATCCTTGAATGCATTTTTTTCCTGTTTCTATTTTTTCTTCTATTTCGGGCACTATTTATCCTGAAGGCTTTATTTGTACATTTACACATAATTTAGAAACTTGAAGGTTGCCATTCGTATTCGCGATGACAACCCCCCCCCCCCCTGCCTCCTCCTTGACATCTTGTCCGAGAAACCTTTACTTGTATGATTATTCAAATAATGAATATACATGTAGTAGGCCTATCTATAATGTTTAAACGTCCATTTGAGGTAAAGCATTTGCTAATGCATTAGCTGTGTAATCTTGGTGGGATTACAAGACTTGTAATGTCAAAAAATATGTAACTATACACTTCAAATATCATTGAATTTTAATTACAAGACAACATCATAAAATATTCAGTTTTGTTTACAATAAAATGAACTTACGAATTGGCTTATCTTCCGAGTCGTTGTTTTCCCACGACGCTATGGAAAAAATGTATGTGTCCTGTCGATGTATACGTCAAATACTTTTGAATAGATAAGCACTGACTGATATTCATAATCCGAGTACTGTATAAAGTATGATATCAAGGATTATATAAATAGATGTAGTGCTTGGTCATAATATGCAATTTTTGTGTGGGATTGATCGAAAGAGAAAAGAGGAGAGATGTAAAGTTTCTAACGATGTAGTTTCATAACCCTGTCACATTGGGGATCTCTTTCAGCGAACCAGAACGATTTACGAGTTGACTGATCGATACACTTCCTCCTCTCATATATTAAAAATCAAACCAGAAACCATGGAATTTATTATTTTTCGAAAATGTAGGATTATCAAAATCACTTAGATTATTTTTTTCTTTTTTTAAATTCCAGGTTTTTCTTTTCTTGCTCATCGTCATTTATCATCTATGTCTACGTTTGCGGCGGTGAAATTGCAATTTGTAAAAGTTCCTTATAATACTCGTCATGCCTCCTGATTGTAAAAAAATGCCAGATAGTTGTGTTTCCGGTTTAATTGATGTCGTGAGAAGAGAAAGATATGAGGAGATAATTGATTTAACCTTTGAAACAATACTCGTGTGACTAAGGCCCAACTCGTGACAACTATACACTTTCACGATTGAGTATATGCGGTGATATTTTTGATTGCTACAAGGGGAGGCGTTACTTTCAAGTGTACTTTAAAAGCCTCTATTGCAACAAAATACGATGGAAAGGGACGGCTTCCCCCTTTCTAATTATCATTTACCAATATAAGTTTCCAAAAACGTTGACCTATATATAAACCAATATGCAAAATAAATAGGCTTGAGGTCATCCTGTATTGTTTGCAAGCACCATAAACAACACGTAAACTTTTATTTAAACTAAATAGACCAAACATATTCAATAGTTCATTAATTACATTAATAGCAAGCTACTCCAAAGCAAAGCAACAAAAAGGTATGGCTTAGTTTTTTATGTTACATAGTTTGAACCTGTAACTTTTCGTCAATATCAATGAAACAAATTTGGCACCAGAGAATATTTTACCCACAGATTGGTTTCTATAATCTTAAATGAATTCAAGAAATTCAATTATATTACACATGTCTAACAGTATGTGACACCTTATCTAAATCAAAAAATGATTGACCTTTTATGATTCAATTTAGTTAAAATCCTACAAAAAGTCTATAAATATCTGTTCTCAAATACATCTACAGTTTTACCACGATTTTGTTGAACACTTCTTTTTTGACGTCTCCCCTCCCCTGTTTTTGGTGGTCACTGTCTAAGGTATTATCAGTATACTGCTTAACATATTCTAACCACCATATGACCCAATATTTTCCAATTCTATTTTTATGAAAGATAAAAATTAATGTTTTGGGTAATATTTTTTCCCGTTAGGGTGAGCTGGGACACTTTGCCAGGGACACTATCCCAAAATATGGCATGAGTAGGTTGAGGTTGATGAAATAGACGGTAAATCGGCAGTGCATTCCATGAGTGATACACAAAAGGAAGTCCAACATGATTAATATATGGCTTGGTATATTTTGTTGGCAATAAGGATTATTTTTGTCAAACCAGGTCTGATCCTGGAAATGAAAATGTGAAAATACTCAAAAATGATATTTCAGGTATAATTTTATTCCTAAAACCAACTCTATCATCAATTGTTCCTAATAATAATAATAGCCTAATAGTCCACTCCGGATTTTATTAAACTAAAACGGAAATTCTTTTTGCCCAATAAAAAAAGCAAATCCTTAAACAACAAGGTTTCCTGGAAATGAAAATGTGAAAATACTCAAAAATGATATTTCAGGTATAATTTTAATCATAAAACCAACTCCATCATCAATCGTTCTTAAGGAGACTATACAAAAGCGAATCATTAAACAACAAGGTCATTTTTCTCAATTTTATTCCTCGCTCTATGAGGCTGAGATACACCCTTTTGCCAGTGTTTAATTCGGATACGAGAATAATTCCGTGAACAGAATCATTCGAGAGTAATTCTGGGGACAAAATCACTCTGCGAGATGGATTTCGTGACAAGATCACATTGTGAGTTGACTGTTTTGACAAAATCAATAATTTTGAGTGATTTTGTGACGGAATCACAAATGTGGTACATAGCGCCCCATCGATATGTCAATATATAATAAGCATATTGATCCTACATATTTTTAAAGCTCACACATAATACAGAAAAGCCGTTACATCTTAAAGGTAATACAAATTTTTGGTATGGGGTCATGAATTTGGTTCAAATGAACATATTGGAAACATATGCGAGCCTACAATATTCAGTGATGGTTGTCGCTGTTGAAATCGAGTCTAAAATGATGAATTTGTGAATAATATTAAACTATGGTGTATAGCTCCCTCTAAAGATTGATATTACTTTAGCTACAAAACAATGTTTCTTGAGTAAAATCGACCGATTTTCAATTGCCGTTTGGAAAATATCAGAGCTGTATGTTCCGAGATGTTTATGGTCGCAGCTACCATTGTATGGCCGTAGGCGCTATTTGAAATTCATCGGGAGCACCGATAACTTTGATATATTAATTTCTCGAAATCCTTAGCGTTTAAGAGCCCAATTAATTCCATAACCCAATCCTGTTGAAATATTACCAAAAGTTCGCATAACCTTTAAGTGTAGATCTTGTTGCGAAATTGCATAAAGTGAAACAGAGAGCGTATGCACATGATTAATTAAATACACACTTACTTAGTTTTAAGTGTAGACAGGCCCCTCGGTCGTCCAAAAATAAAAATTTCACTTCCATAGGTTGTTTGGGGTTTTGACAAAAATACGGATAATATAAAAACAGTCATTGCTTAGGAATGGGTCTATATTATTTTCGTATATTATTTTCCTACATTAAAAATGAAAGTCTAGCCGAATTAATCCATTAGTCCGTATCAGCTGAATCAGTGGTGGAGCTAAAGGTAGATGGAGAGCCCCCCTCCCCGAATGACGTTTAAAAAAAGGAGGATAATAAGCAAGAATACGGAAAAGAGGAAAAGGGGGTGACCCTCCTCCCTCGCACATATCCTTCTCCCAACCTGTGGCTTTGTTAATTCTCCTTTCTTCCCATCAATGACCGGAGACGCTCCTTCTGTAATAACCCCCCCCCCCCCCACCCCATCCACCATGGCTAATCCCAGGCTACGCCACTGCTTTTAGTTACAATCTAGTCGAGACTTCTGGCGTATTGACTTCATAGGCAAGGTTATAGACTCCTTGAGACTTCCATTCTCCTCCGCCATTCACCTCAGACGCTTCAGACGGTCGCTCTACTCCGTTTGGTTTGGCCGCTCGAGGAAGGTGAATGTTCAGGGATGTCTTCCATCGGCAGCAAGTAGAGGAACATGAAATCACACGCCAGATTGAGTGATAGAACTTTTCATGCGAGAGGGCGTACAAAAACGGATTGATAAGACTGTTTAGTTGATACAATCCTTGAGCAACGTTGAATACGATGATGACGAGGGATGGGTCCACTAAGAGAGATCCGCCAAATGCAATCCACAAGAAAGTTGCGATGTAGAATCCTTGGATGACAGCAAATAGAACGACCACGAGCATGGATGCGCGTAACACTGCGTGTTTCTGTTTATTCCGTCTCTTTCGCGTTTGGTCCGATGCTCGCTCGTCAGAAATACGATTCTTCCAGATGGTGCGCATAATCGCCGTGTAACAACCGAAGATGATGAGAAGAGGGATGATGTACGTGAAGACAGCTCCCAATGAGATCAGATATTTGGCATTAGGTTCCTTCCAAGCTTCCAGATTTTTACTTTCGATGGGAGCACCGAAATAAGTGCCTCCAAAACAGAACGAAACTGCAAACATGAAAGAAGTTTTTAAAAATATCCATGTAAGGGCATATTTTTATCAAGTCTTAATATCGTCTTTTAATGACGGATCAACACAGTGACAGTATCGTAGTGTCATATATAAATAAACTGTTGGGAGCATTTCATATAAATAGGAAATGTTACAAACGTGTCAATAGGCCTACTGCATTTTTTTGTCGGGACAAGTAACATAATGTTTGTGACACATTATCATTTTCTACACCTGCAGACGAGGCTTAAAGGGTCTTGAAAGTAAATTATGCCGATAGAACAGCATGGGTTTTCCGACAGAACTTTATAACTAAGTATTAAATGACCTCATCCTCCCAAAATTGTCTGAAAGTTATAATATTTTATTTTATTTTATAAGCCCATCAGCCGAAATTCTTCATGCAAGCAACAAAATAAATGAAATAGATAAATAAAGGTAACTGTTTCAGAAGAGTCCATAGGGAGCGCTACCATCGTTTAACCATCAGTACCTTTGATTAGGAGAGTTTGCCCAATACAACACGTTTCGAGCTGACAAATGACGACTACTGCTTATTCGCGGCCAGCACAATACAAAAGAATGTACGCTATGAAAGCAAGTTGGCCCAACTCTGTGTACAGATGGCTCTGTTTAATAGTTTCACAGCTAGTTATATGAAACTTCACCCCAAGAAATAACTTAAATTATTCTGAGAGATTTATTATATTCTTGCCCATTAATAAAAGTATACAAGATTTTGTAAAATGTATGTCATAAGGTATACAACTATACATGGTCATGGTAGAATACAGATATTATAGAAATAGTTTCTTAAAACTGTTACTGAAGGGGTGGGAGAATATATATCTTACAAATCCAGACGGCAACACAGATTTTGATAGCACGATTCTTAGTACGATACTTCTGGGATCGCAAGGGGTAGACGATAGCAAAGAACCTGTCAACGGTGAGGGCGATCATCATTGCAACGGTTGCCATAACAGTCACCTTTAAGAAGAAAATAAATGACATGAGTTAGAGATAGCAGCGATGGAAATAATATCGTCTAACGAACTCCTACAATATCATCGTAAATATTAAATTATGTATTAGATTAGTATATGGGTACGCAATGTAGCCTTTATTTATCCAAAAGCATAATCTTCTCCATATATCGCAAACAATGTTATTCATATTCGCATAATTTTATTGAAACCTTATTTTCATTAAATCACATCCATAGCTGTCATCGTCTTAAGCTGACACGGCTGAAGATTTTTTTTTTTTTTATTGTTGTTGTTGTTGTTGGTGCTGGTGCTGGTGGTGGTGTTTACAGTGACGCGTTGATGATGATTTTGTGATTGTTGATGATGATGATGATGCTGATGGCAAAAATGATGATGATGATAATGGTGAGAATGATAATGGAGTTGATGAAGATGATGATGATGATGATGATGATGTTGATGATGATGTTAATGATAATGATGATGATGATGGTGGTGGTAATGATGTTGATGATGACGATGTTGATGATGACGATGACGATGATGGTGATTATGATGATGGTGATGTTGATAATTTTTATAATGATGATGATAATGATGAAGATTTTGCTGTTGAAGATCAGCTATAAAGGGCGAAATCATCTTCGTTTTCATTTTAAATCTTACCAACTCCATGTAGAATACGAAAGTCTGTGTGCTTTGGTATTCCTCTACTTGGAATGCTCCGATGTAATACTCATAACAATTCGACCCTGCTACAAACAACAGCGCCATCACATCCGAGATTGCAAGATTCGTAATGTAGATGCTCGGGATTGTCCACATCTCGCGAGACGCGAGAATCACGCCGATCACGAGAAAGTTGGCGATAACCCCGAATACGATGTTAAACAGGGTGGTGAAGAACATGATAGTAGAGAGGAGAATGGTCAGGTCACATTCATCGTCGAGAAGCACGAAGGTACAGGAATGGTTGACTATAGTAGGTGTCGTATAAGACACACTCGATCCTGCCGTGACTGCCGCGGCCATCCTGGTAGTTGCGTTCATTGTCAATGTAAGATTGGCCTACGTCGTCCAAACCTGTATCAAGGATAATGCAAGGAATTTAATCAATTTAATAATTATTTTAAAAGTTATATAATATCTTAATCACATAAAAAACTGTAACTTCTCGTATAAAGAAAAGAAAATAATGTCAATGAATCTTGCAAATTTGGTGGCTTTGTATCTGTTACCCTAACCATTGGAAACACAAACGGTCACCCAGGTATGGTACTTCAACGATTTAGTAGATGAAACATTAAAAGGATTTCTTGTTTAAGACCGCAAATGCCTTCTAAGCGCATGGTTATTGCTCTGATTCATATTTATGAAATTTCTGGTTCCCTTTTAGAACCTAAAACCTAAATATTTGGAATGGTATATAGAGCCTATTCGTTGCTTTGTGGTGATTTACATTCACCTAAATTTAAATTAAATTAAAATAATATAGTTGGGAGATTTCAGAAATCGATCAGATCCGTTTTTCCCAATTGTTGTTAATGATAATGGCCTGTTTTCACTCAAACTTTCAGATAATTATCTTTAATTGTACATCTAGCATTGAAGTAATTACCTTAGCACTAGTTTCTCTCATCTGAACAAAGTTACCAAATCCCTTTAAGTTAGAACACGATACCGCCAAAAAAGGCTTTTAGTTTCCATGGGTACATATACAAATGTTGACAACCATCAAGCTTGTCGTAGACGTCACTTGCGCCATTAGTACTTCACTAACGGATTCTATAACACATACATCAATGAAGAAGTGATGGTAAATACGTTTAGAGTTAAAAAAATAGTTTGCTACTTTATACTATTATTTGGAATGGATATGTATTAAACTAAGCGGCCTCCTACTCATATTTGTTATTTCAATTGCACCAAAAAGATTCTATTTAGACTCTACATAGATGCAAAGTGATTACCTAGCATATTTTCCCATTCTCTTTAAAAAGGGAAATGCATTACTAGTGTTATTACAGCATGGAATTGGTCAAGACTGTACCTAAAGGGTCTTTTAGGGTAGAAAATATGAGATGGCATACTCTTTTGGAAGGAGGGTGCTTTGCAATTAAGGTATGTCAATAACTTTAAGAAAAGCCCGCTAGTGAGTAATGGATTATTTAATCATCAAATTTGATTCATTTTCTTCATCGAAAGGAAAAATTTGATAATATCAAGGAAACCATGTGTATGCTCCAAATCATGATCAAAACAAACTATGATCAACTTTGTAATATTATTAATATTGTAATAGATAGGCTACCCAGCTTGAAGATCAGCTGTGTAAATGCTATACTCCTTCATCTAACAAAGAAATCATTCACACCCGTACTCTCTGTTTTATTTCCTAGGAGAGTGTACATGTATATTTCCTTGTATCTTTTATAATTGAGGACTCTGCCTACTAGAGCCTCCATGGTGCCCATATACAATCAGCGCTGACATTGTTCATACATCTAATATTCTTCTTGCCCTAATTAGTATTATAAGGACACCGTCTAATGGAATCGGATAATCTGCAAACTAAGAGGGTTAATTAGTGGATACCATCACACAGGTTGAGAAAGAAGCTGTATATTTGATTAAAATTTGAAGAAAGGTATATTAACCAATCAGCAATATTGATTATACAATGACGACTTTACAGATACTCTGTAAATAAATTATTGAAAGGCTAAAGATCTTGATGTTTGTTCGTGGACGTAGATCTGTCATTGACAAATAAATTAGTAACCTAGAGCTCGCGAGCATAATTATAGAGCATACAAGGGGCCTTCACACCTACAGAAAAAAGTTCACCAAGATTAAAAAACGACTGTCTCCCTTGAAAACAGAATAAGCATTTTCTGTGCGGCATATCATCGAAAGTTATGCCCATTTAATATTGGATATACTTGAAAGTTGAGAAGAATACAACCAGGAAAGGAAAACGTATTTCATTGTTCTCAAGAAAGTGAGTATAGATTTAAGTCAAATAATTCTCTCTCTCTCTTTCTTTTTTTCTCTCTTTCTCTCTTCTTCTTCTTCTTCTCTTCCAATCTATTTTCTCCCTTTTACTCACTATCACTTGTAATATATCTCTCTCTCTCTCTCTTTCTCTCTCTCTCTCTCTCTCTCTTACTCTCTCCTCTCTTCTCCATATCGCTCTGGCTTTCTCCCTCTCTCCCTCTCTCCCTCTCTCCCTCTCTCCCTCTCTCCCTCTCTCCCTCTCTCCATCTCTCCCTCTCTCCCTCTCTCCCTCTCTCTCCCTCTCTCCCTCTCTCCATCTCCCTACCTCTCTCTCTCTCTCCCTCTCTCTCTCCCTCTCTCTTCTCTTTTTTCTTTATATACTTATGGTTTTTTACTCAGTCAATTTCTTTTTTCATTCACTCCCTATACACCTCTCTCATGCATGTCAAATCACAAATGACTCAGGTTGGTGGACACAATAATTGGCAAATATACCCAGTCCACACAAGCCCGAGTATTGTAAAAGCCACAAACCATTTAAATCCTACCTTCCCTTTTACAGTTTTTAGTACTGCGTGAAATTTCAAGTATGCTTTACAAAGCTATTGTTAGGTAAAGATGAATAGGCATGTCAAAATCATATAATACTCTGCAAAGGTTATAATGTGAATAACACCAGTGATTAAAATAGCATGAATATTTTGTCGATTTCGTTTTGGGCAAACAGGAAGCCATTTCAGCATGAAAGTCATGATTAAGTACAGGGTGAATTGAGAAGTCTACATCTCTGAAAACAGTGTACAAAAATAGATATATATATATATATATATAGAATAAAGGAACAGTTTGACTTGCAATAGCTTGATATGGGGATATATATATATATATAAATTCTCAATTTTTTTTCGTCTCTCAATCCATCTAATTCTCCATCTCTCCAACTTCCCTCTTTCCGTCTTTCAGCTCTCGTTCATCTCCCATGCAGCTCTCTCTCTCTCTCTCTCTCTGTATTTCTCTCTCTCTCTCATAAACCTTTTCGGTAATATTTAGCCCTACATTGTTTTCTTTTCGTTTATCTGACATGTAATTGACGGGTTTACTAATACATTCATTTTTTTAAGGTTTCTTTCCTGGGGACCTAGTGAAATGTTATTACATTAATGTGTTACAGTAAATGAACTCCACTACTTGGAATCCAATCTGCATACATTAATTTGAGTTATGTCGGGCAAGTCCGGGCAAGTATACAGGTCTTAAAAACTAATCCTTGTTTATATAGTACGAGTAACATTTGAATATGTTAGTAAACCCAAAAAGGAAATACATGTGTTGACTTACTTCGTCTAAAACGCGCACGTAATAATGAATCCGGACGCCTTGTATGGCCGGATTATATTTAATGATACTCGAGTTACAAACGTT